CCAGAGGGCTTTGGTTAAACTGACGGCAGTGAGCGCTTAAAGTGTGGGTACCGCGAGCTCTTTGAAAACTACATATGCTTAATGGAGTATCTACAGCAGCTATGAAGCAAATTAAAATCTGGTGAAGCTTTTAAAGCACCTTGTAGCTGCTGCCTTTCATGCAGGTATCTCTGAATTGCTTTAGAGATAACTCAAGCCTGCTTGCCTTAATGAGTAAAGGTAAGCTATGGCTTATTTTGTCTGAAAGCCACACCAAGCACGTTCCTCTTGCGTGTTGTTTGCTTCTTAACGTTATGAGAATATTACTTTCTTATTTTGTTTCTTCACTAATGTGTGTAGGAGATGGCTGTATGGTAGTGTTATAGTAAATGTCCTGATCCTGTAGTTGGATTTGCTTGTTGGAGTAACAAACTGTGTCGTTTTCAGGTCAGCCTGCAACTTTGGGTTCTTCATATAGATAAAAGTTTGCAAGGTTGGAACCTTAAAGATTGTATGCAAAGCAGCTGCCCAACAGAAAGTGAAATAATCAAAGGACAGAATGCTTGCCTCTTGTTCATTCTTGGTTGGATATATGGAAAAAAGGCAAACTTGTCGTATTCCCATGTAAGATTCCATAACAGTCTTCTAAAAGAAAGTGTCTCTTTGATAGGGAGTAAATTCATAGCAAGCTTTTTAAAATCATGCTGCAAATTTGTACTAGCTTGTGCTTTGAGGAAGAAGGTATCAAAAGTTGTGGTTTGTTTGGTTGGGGTTTTTTTCCGCCTAATTGCACCAGAAGATAATGAAAATAATTAATACGAAACTCTGAGGTCTGTGGAAGCACATGTCTGACAGAGTAAAGGAAGCTGCTGGTTCAGTGCTTCATTACAACAGCTGAAGTGTAGGGTCTTACGGGCTTAGCTTGGGAAGCAGTACAAAATATGTGCCTGGGGTAAAGAATGCTCTTATAAATGTTTCCTTTTTTGTGTGTGTACTGTTTCTTCTTTCCAACAAACTTCCTCTGATCCTGGGTATGATAAAGATTAATACTGTTAGATGCAAGTCAAATAGAAGAGGTTACAATGTAATATAAGTTGTCTTACTTGAAGTAGAAAGTCAATGGCAATTTTACTTAGACTTGGTCACTGTAACAGAAGGACTGACTGTAAGGTAAGTACCTACACTTAGTTTACTGTTATAAAAATTCATTTTGAAACACACAAGACTTGAAATTCTCTTTGAATGTTTCCTGAGTAGAAAGACCAGGAGGCTCAGGTGTGTATGTTTTGTCATCTTGTGGGCATGAGGGGGAGTGTGTTTGTATTTTTAAAAGTAATGAGTTATTGTGTACGTGAACACTACTTGGTTTGTGCCCTTGCTCAATCCAGCTATTGTGATATGACCACATTTAAATGAGCAGGAGAAGTTAACCCAAGCTTTTTTCTGAACTTGGAGAGAAGGTGCCTCTTGGACAGCAAGGTTGTCCATTTTTGCTTTAGAAATACACTCTTATGAAGAGACATGGCACAAACACCTTCTGTTAATACAGGTTATTCTCCTTTAAATGGCTTTTTCCTTTTCTGCTTGCCCTCTTATCTAGTGATGCTCAGGAGAAAACTTTTGGCTATGGTAGTTTTTGTACCTTTGAACTGGCAGTATGTTTGCCTTGCCCCTCCTTTTATATCATCTTCCTCTCTCAAACTAGTTTTAGATTTTTGTATTCTGCAGCTAATGTTCTGTTAAACAGCTGAAAGAAGATAATTTCTGTGAAGAGATTGTGAGTTTGTGTGTGAACATTGTGCTGTTGAGGAATTAGACTACTAGGGCTTTCTTGTCTGTTGATACCTGCAGGGACTGTAGGAGTTTTTTGAATGCAGGAGGAAATGCTCTCCGTTTATCGAAATCCAGTCACTGTAAGATTGAGATGTAATCAGGAGAATAGATTCCCATGTATACTAAATATCATGAAAAGATTCCCACTAAATTTTGGTATGGTTGGTTCAGGCTTTTAAAGATTCTGTTCCTAAAATTATAGTTCCTTAAAATATCACCCCCCCCCCCCCCCCCCCCCAACTGTTTCTTATTCTTTCCTCCTTAAGAGGAGGAGGAGATGACTCCTGAATTAATGGGATGATAAATTCTAAATGCTCAGACAAATGTAGTTGTATCGCATTGAAACTTTACAGAAGCTAGTAGCTGTTATTATGAGCAACCCTATATTTCTCTTTGCAATCTGTCTTGCCAGGCAGAATCTCTTGAGGTTAAACCACAGATAATTACTTTGGCCTTTAACCATTAATGTTTGAATTATCACAGAAGTGTTCTTGTCTTGTCGTGGTCCATCATAAGAATGCGAGCTACTTCACCTCCATTCATACTAACTGAAATGATTGTTTCTAGTTTACTTTTTTAGGAATATCTCATCCACACATGGAGTAGCTTAGGGATGTCTGTTCTGATTTTTCTAGATGACTTTCCATCAAATTTCTGGTGGGCTGTATGCAATGTAAGTTCCCAAATAAGGATGCTCTAACAAAAAGGTCTATTTCTGTCTTGAGTCTTTCTGTCTTTCTGACCCACCTAGCAAACACACAAAATAACTTGGTAGTATGGCTCAAGAAATGCTTGACTGAAATTTCAGATTACTTTAGAAGTCAGCTGTTAGTATTGAGTAATCTCTGTATGAAATTGAGTTTTACAGTTATAATCTGTTCCATATGAAATAAATATTAGTTGACATTCCAGTTACTTAGCTTCCATAGAAAAGCTTAACTTCTTTCTAAACCATTTTGCCCAAGTTAGGCAAGGGTGATGAGATGGTGACTCTTTGGCTTTCTGTTATGTAGAGGGCTGCATTATAAATGGCTTCAAGAACACAATTTTCTCCCTCTGCCCCAAGAGTGATGTGATATTTGAAATGGCATTAGAATTACAGATAGTGATGGAGTTTCTTTGAAAAAAAAAAAAAACCCAACTTGTTCTGAAGCTTTCTTTCCTGCCAGAGGATGTAAGTTATATATTATACTGAAGATTTAAGTAGGGAGGGTGAGGGAGGGAATAACAAATTTGCAGTCATGCTTCAAACTAATGAGTACTGAAGTATTTTTTTTTTTGATTCTAAATAAAGATATGGAACATAGTGGTTTGAGTACCTTATAGTGTAATGGTGTGGTATGCACTAGTATCTGTAGAGCAAAGACTCCTGGATTTTATGCTGTCTTTGGTCATACAGAACATATTGAAAAGTCTGTGTATAGTACAAGACAAAGTAAAATCAACAATCAATGCTATGTGATTGCGTTCTGACCATGGAGCTAGTATGCTCTGTAGCACATCCTTGTAACCTTGACTGGGGCATTTACTGATGCGTGCTACCACATGGTGTGCAGCAGACATGCAGGCAGGATAGAGGAAGGCGATTATATGTACTCTCAGGCCCTTGGTTAGTGCAGGCATTTCAGTGTAATGCATTTATCTTGGAAAAGAAGTCACTGGATAGTGTAGAAATCCTTACACTCCCTGTTCTTCCAGGCTGTTCAAATGATAGTAAGTCACACTGGAGAATTGCCCATGGAAAAATGCTGCAAGAATTAGCTTTTTTTTTTAACATCGTTATGCTTCAGTCCTGAAGTCAGGTTATTCCTTTTCCTCTTTAGTACAGGGAACTAGACTGTGTGCTAGTTCATAGACTGTCACTAACGAGTTGTTGTATTTCAAAGGGTTATAAATAAGTTACTGTGGCCAAAGCTTCTTAATACAACTTGCAAACAAATCTGTCAAGAAGGACAAATCTATGATTTACAAGAAGTTATAGTGGAAACTGAGAGTGTTTTCAAATGCTATAGGTAATAGCAGGCTGTTCCACAGCTTGGTTACCTCAAAACTTGAATTAACATATTCTTATTTTGAATCTACCTTTAGTGGCAATACTTGGTGATTTAAGGTTTTGATGCAGTTTGTTATGTTGCTCTTATCTAGAAAAGACAATCTTGTAGAGATCTGCTGATTCATCTTTATTAGACCACAAATTTAACTGTGGATTTTTAGTTCAACCATGTTTCTGGGAGGAGTAGGATAATTAAGTGAGTAACAGTTCTGCAAGATGTCATTGCTTTGATCAGTCTCTTGAGTCCTTCTTGATACAGGTGGAGAGCTGTTTTTATTTTTACTTTACTCTTTTAAAGGCATTTATTCTTTTATGGTGAGGTTGAGCATGATTTACATATCACACTTCAGCTTTCCTGAACCTAACCTCTCTGTAACAAATCCTTTCTATGCCACTAATCCTAACACTTTTTGTTTGGGTTGTACTTAACATATGTAGTTGTGAGATTTAGTTGTCTTCCTCTGTTTTTCCTGCAAAGGGGAATATAAGAAAAAGTCATGTATTCTACAGTTTACTGTATGTTCACTTACTACAAACCTTGATGCCTTTACCTCTATGTGTGATTAGTTAAAATTTTAAAGCTAGTTACTCCTCTAATTCAAAACAACTGTTCTGCGTTGTGGTATAGATGACATGCTGAATGTCTGAAAATGCAGTCATTCCTGACAGCATCATATGGAGGGAAATAACACTTGTGGCTGTAGAACTCTAATCGGAGAAGAGCGGAAACCATGTAATCTTACAGAAGAAGAGATGACTGTTTTGCATAGCAAGTGTGTTGCTTGCCAGTGGCTGACTTTGTTTCGTTGTTTGGTTTGTTTTGTTTAGCAAAGCAGATGATCTATTATGCGAATACTTGGCTGAGGATCAATCTTCAGCCTGGGTGTAAAGATACTTTTTCTTGTCCCTTCTCAGAATTGCTTATTGCTGGTTCATTAGTTTAGTTAGGTACCTTCCTTAGGTGTTTTTTTTAATACAGTTCATTTTTGAACTACTCCAGACTAACTCACTTTTTCTTTCTCTTGGCCAGACTGTCATAGTCACAAGGGCATAACATGCTGGTTTTTGCTTCTGTCGTAGGTACTTTGTTTAGAGTTAAAGGAGATGTCAACTTGCTTATACGAAGAAGTTCTGGGCATCTCTTGGATTTCCCCTCTTCCTTCCTGTATATTCAGATTTTGTGTTCTTGTCTTGCTCGTTATGACTGGTATGAGGCTTGTTTTGAACAGATCTTGGCTGAAGGCTAAGGGGGTGTGTGCATGTTGCAAAAGGGGGGTAAGTAGGGAGGCACAGTAAGGTCCTGGCTGAATTAGGGGCAGCAGAAGAGTGATTGTAAACTTCAATTTTTGGCTATTCCAAACTAGAGTTTTAAATACGAAGTTCTACTGTGTTATAAAAAGGGGTTTACTATGGTATTTGAATTAAAGTCTGGTGTTCTTTAATCTGAAATTAAGGAATAATTTCTTAAAGTTTGACTTCTTGAGGATGTTGACCTATTGTACTGTTTTGTCTGCAGTAACACTTTAGGAGATATTTTCCTAAAAATACAAAATGAATCTTTAACCACAGAATAATTGGTGTTGTCAGAGTGCTTCCCATCTTCTCTCTGCCTCTCTTGCTGTTTAAGTGGAGAACATAGAATGCCACAATGTATTTCCAGATTAAAGGAGGAAAGAGACTCCTCAGGGCAACTGAGTAAGTGTTGTTTGAGGAAGACTAAATTTTAACATGGAAATTACTAGTCATTATAGAGTCTAGCTCTCATCATTTGAATGTGCATAGAGAAGATTGCTCTTCTACAGTTAACCCTGTTTAAAAAATAATGTTTAAAAAAAATTGTTCCTCAATAAAGTACTTCTCTCAGACTTTGGCCTTTTTCATTCTTTTAATTTCTGCTTCTTCTTTCTCTTCTGCCAGCTTTTGAGTCAGTTGAGTCTGCCAAAGAATATTTCTTGTTTTGTTTTAAATCCCTACCACATCCTCTGCTACTTAAACTAGAATACTAACCTACTCTTTTTCTTGTCTCTACAGTATGCAGCCTTATCTCTCCTGGCAGCAACTTGTTTTGAAGATTTCACTGGTACGTATAAAAGCTGCTTTAATGCCACCATTGTACTGAACCTGAGTTTTTAGCTTCCTATAGGCTTCCTTAACTTACGAATAAAGTCGTCTTGATGTACATCTGTGACAGTTTGGAGAAGTATTAGAACTAGAAGGAAAGGCTCACTTTAACTAGAAGTTAAAGATACTATCGTAATGTCATCTTGATTATTTGGGAGGAGGAGTTGAGTGTGGTGTGGGGTTTGGTTTGTTTTTTTCTTTTCCTAGTTCCTGAAATGTAACTGTTCAACCCCCTCTCCCCTCTGATTTTCTTCGGTTTACTGATGTAAAGTTGCGAAGGAGCTCTTACATTGAAGTAAAAATGTAGCATTGCCCTGGATATTGTGGATTTTTAGCACGGAATGTATGAGGACTTTGGAAAGGTTAATATTGATGGCTCTTAGAGAGTGTGTAAGACTAATGATATGCCTTGTCTTCATTTGACTGCTTTTAGGTATCAGAAATCAGTCTGAAATGGCTCTGTGCCTTTCTTATCTTTGTGTCCATGTGTGCTGTCAGGGAACTTCATAACCTGATACTTCTTATCACTTGGTGCAAAATGGGCACGACTCTTCCAGAAGGCGGACCTACTTGCCCGGTATATGTTCCACTAAAGCTGATAACCCACTTCTTGTGCCTAAGGATTGAAAGGAAGTTTCTGCTGGCCTTTTGGACATGCAAACACTACTTCTTGTTGGCTAAGGCATTCTGTAAACAACAATACAGCTGTAAACCCTGCATGCTGCTGAGTAACAAAACAATTACCACGCTTTTTTGAAAACAGTATTGTGGCAGAGCAAAACATTATATGATGAATGCTGGGATTAGAGCTTTGTATGACTGTTTTAGGCTTTTCAGTCCTACTACCCAACATGTTTTCATGCGTACTGTTCCCTTAATGAGAGTGTGACAAGCAATGATATCGTTTGAATAATTGTCTGGAGATCCAATAACCAAAAGGAAGAGTTCAAAGGAAAAGTCTTGTGCTTGTCTGCAACAAACATACATATTTCTTTGTCTAAATCTTTATACCAAATTCCTATTCTTTTGCATGTATAAATCTATTTCTGATATTTGGCAACTTTAGTTTCCCTGCAGAAAGAAGAACTTGGGAATTATTTGTCATATGTGAAGAAATAGACACGAGTTGTGGAAACAAATGGCAGTCTGTAATGATGCACAGTTTGGAGTTATGATTAATGAAAGAGTGGGCTTGATACTAGCTGTGCAGTTCCACAGTAATGTGGACCTTTGTACATGAATTAAGTGTGTTAAAATCCATCTGTCCTGTGCAGATGTTTAAGGGACTTGGATTATTTTTTCTTTTTGAGAGAGAGAACAGGAGAGGCATAAGCAAAAGAAATTTAAAAAGTGATGTCAAAATGCACTGAGAGAAATAATCCACACAGTGGGTGGACGGATCTGTCTACTACCTGTACTCTTGGTGGCCTGAAACATGGTATCTGTGAACATTCTTGCAAAGTCTGGTATTTGTCAGAAGCACACATTAATTTTAGCTTCTGCAACTGGGAATCGTGTCCTCTTGTTCGTGCTTTTGTTTTAAACATGTTTTTAAATTTTAGTATTCAACTGACTCTTCTGAAGTAGAGTGGTGACCTATAATGTAAATGTTTATAGTATTTAATTGCCTGTAACTCTTACTTTATATAGATGGAGCTGCCTGGCCTTGCTCTTGCTGTTTGGATGTTTATTTGCTTCTATGCATCTGTGGATGGCTATCCAAGTGGAAAAATAAGAGAAGCCTGTACTAGCATGGTACCCTGTCATGGTAGCTCTCCGCAACTGTCACCTGAGCACGCCATTACAGTGAATGGGACTGAATTTAAACCAGGGGACAACATAGAAGGTATTGTGTCAGTTATAGCTGAAGAGTTTACTTTACTGTTTCTTTGTGTTGTAGCATGTCTTTACTCAGTTAGTTACGCTAGATATATCTAAGCAGTTCAGTCTTGTTCAGGTGATCCATTTAGCAGTCATTTAATACTTGTGAAATGAGCTCCTGGTGGTCATTGCTGAAATATTTCATTCTTCCTCTGGAAAATATTTCAAATTCCTTTTTATTTTTCTTATTGCTTCAGTTCATCTCTCTGGACCAGATTTTGAAGGATTTTTCATACAAGCGCGGGATGCAGAACACCTGGATAGCCCTGCAGTTGGTTCTTTCATGTTAGTTGACCAGAGACTTTCTCAGCTTCTGACATGTGGCAGTACCAAGGTATAGTCTAGTATCTTGAAATGGGGCATCAGGCACTGAGGTGTTTGTACTAGACCATGACTGTAATAGGACAGAGCTAAGCTATCTAATCTTCTTTGAGCTCAGTTAAGTCTCTCAGGAAATTGGTGGAACTTGCAGTAGAGAGGCATGTCTCACTGCAACTCTGTCAGACTATTCTTATGGGCCTTAAACTGTCCTGGTGATAGAAGGCTATTGACTGCTGTAGGAGGATGTGGCATTCGTGACATAATTTTTACTTATGCACAATGAATGCAGTGTATTCCTAGCTATTGTACTTAATATTAAATAGAGGAGGGCATGCTCAATTTGCTTTGAAGAGGAGAGTTACCAATCACTTTCCATGCTTGTTAAGGACATAGAAAATGTCTTGCAGCAAGGGAGGTTTAGGGCAGTTATTGTGGTAAACAAACATTAGAATAGGTTGTTATCTTTAGTGTTGTTCTGTAAGTTACTGTTCATGGAGCCTTCTTAGTAACAGGTTAGATCAGTCTTCAATGCCCACTTTAGATAAATTGATTCTGCCTTGTGTGCAAGAGATGTGAACTCTGACTAGTGTTTCAGCACCCTGCTTGAATTTCATGAACATGTACAGTGTCATCTGAGCAGGTGTGGACAAAGTTGTTGTTTTGCCTAGATGTGTTTTTTCTTCTTGCCACTTCAGTCACCTGCCCCTCAGTGGCACCCAATTAATGGCTTCACCAGTGCTGTAAAGCCATGGGGATGTCTGAGTTGTACCCTCTGTGCTCCAAGGACTACTTCAGTGCTGTGTCTGATCTGTTTGTCTTGTGCAAGTAACTGTCTGACGCCGAGACTACTTTGGTTTTTGTTCTCTGGAATACTAGTTCTGTTCTCTCTGTACAGTCATTGCACTGTTTCTTCATGCTCTTACTATCAAAAAATGGAGTGTTATCTTACTGTAAAAAAAAAAAAAATGGAGTGTTATCACAACCATTTCTGCATAAATGCTGCAGGGACTTGTGTCTCTTCACTGGAGTCTTCTGTATTGAAAGACCTCCAGTTGTTCCTTTTAGCCTTAAAGTTTGTTATAAGTTTCAGTAGTAGACTTCATGAACGTTGATCATGACTGGCTGGGGCAAAGCCAGTTGCGCTGGGTCTGTGCAGTGTAACAGTGCGGTGGCTGCTTAGGATTTAGCTGCAGCCTATGATGACTATGTTACCTGCAATCTCCTTAGTGCATATCCACAGTGTAACTCTTGATATGTGTGTGTTTTCAGAATTCAGCTGTCAGTCACACAAGTAAAGCTAAAAAGAAATGCATAAAAGTGTATTGGATTGCTCCTGGAGATGCACCAACACGTGTACAGTTTCTGTAAGTAAATCTAGTATTAGTTCTAGTTTATTAAAATGCAAATACCTTTGTCTGTGTTAAATATTGGCCAGCAGCTGAAAAATATCCTTGGACTAACGGCCTGAAAAGTTCACATGTCTCACTTGCTGCAGAGTCGGCATTAAGGCAGACACTTGTTCTTTAGGGAAAGCTTGGAGATCATTGTTTTGTTTTTTTGTGGGGAGAGTAGAAGGGGATTCGGAGGCTGGTTTCTTTACTATTTCTAGTTAACTGTTGACTTCTCATGCCTGTAATATACCATGTTAAGAATCTTTTTTTCTGTGCTTGTACTTAACAAAATAGTATGTATATCCTCCTGTTACAGTACTAGCTTTTTGGTAACTAATGGATAAAAGCTACGCAACTCTTCTGAGGCTGTAGTCTGTGCCACAGGCATGAATGCTTCATATATCCAGAAGAGCATGCAGTAATATATTTTAAAATTATTTTTCCACTGAGATTTCAGATATTTTCCTACTTTAATCCCTAAAATGGTAGAGGTCTGCATAAAGACGGGGGTTTTACAAGTAAGTTCTACAAACTATAGGAGCTCTTCATTTTTCTTTTTTTTTTAATTTTAAAGTAACTGTCAGCTGTTGGTGTATGCAGTAATGACTCTGTGTGTGTTGTGTTTAAGAGCCACAGTTGTGAAGAAATACAAGACTTTCTGGGTGAAGATTCCTGGTCCTGTTGTTTCTCATCCTAATGCGCTATCCCCAACACCACCCTTGCATGCAACGTCAGAGGCTATATCAACTTCACACCCGGTTTCCTACTTATCAAAGCCAGTAAGTAATTATAAACTTAAACAACGCTATGTTTAATGCTTGTGATCAATGGAATTTAATGAAATCACATTGATACAGCCTATTGACAGAAAGGGAGAGTAACTTGGATATCAGAGGCTAAGAACATAGTTAGCTACCCTTTTGAGTTAGTTGAGTTGCCTGAACTTGTGTGGGTTAAATGTTGTCACGCCACACATGGGTCAGAAGGTTGATAGCACATTTAGAACTTAATGGTCAGAAAATATTATGCATACCTGGGAAGAGAGATGGAAAAAACTTGCCCTGGTCTTGACTAATAACTTCCTATTTAGTAACTACAAACTCAAACTTTCTTCTATGAGTTTGCCTGTGTTACTGACTTCCATTACTGATTCTTGAATGGATTGAGCAAGCATCACTATTTGGTCCAGAATAAACATGTCTTTTAATCCATATATTTTCTCATTGTGTATCAGTGGAGTTCCTACTTTAAAAAAGAACTGAAAAGTTGGTCTTCCCTCCTTTTCTCCCTCATTCTACAGCTGATATTACCTCTCTAAAATTTAAAAGGAATTTTCTCTAAAGCTTTTACTTTTTTTCCAAGTTATTCTGTTATAATGTCTTTAAAATGAAAATTCAACTTGAGTAAAAGTACAGCTTGGAACTCACCATCAATTTCCCTACTAGTCCTGGGATAATTGTAGGGATGAGTTAAGAAATTGGTATGTAGACACAGATGGCATTTCTTTGCTATTCCTTGTATGCTTTCTTCTAGAACAGGGTAGAAAGGGAGGATGAAGAGGGAAACTCTCATTGCTTATGACTTGTTTGCTTAATTGTCTAGTTTAATGCATCAGGTTGTGGAAGTATGAAGTTCTGCATTAGGAACCCTTCAAACTGTGATCCTGAAAGTGCTTCCTGCTTTTTTCTGTCCTTCCAACAAGAGAAGAATTCAGTATTTATTGAAATGAGTGGTCCAAGTGAAGGATACTTAGCACTTGCATTGTCCCGTGACCAGTGGATGGTGAGTGTCCTGTTCTACTTTGTTAGTTGCTTTTGTGATCTTAGTAAAGTTTGAATGGTACTCTAGCAAAACATGCATAGATATCACACAAAGTAACTTCTCTCCCCTAGTGCTGAAGTACAGATTGCCTTTTATAGGTGGATATTCAGTTTTAGCTCAGGACTGACTATTTGCAGTAGAATTTCCCTGTGGATATCTGTCTTACCAGAATCCAGCCTGATACACAATGATAACACAATCCAACCTGTCTGATAACACAGTAGCTGACTGGAATTCCTGGTTAGATCAGTCTTTGTTATCTAGCCAAAAACCCTCACCTGTCAGAAGCTAAATTGCTATGCTTTCTGGAAACCATTCGCATTTCATCATTGCTTGTACAGGAGTGACTCCATTCAGTCTTAAAAAGTGTTCAGAGATCCTTTTTTCTAACTGGTGTTAAAATGAAGGGACGATGCTGTTGGCAATAATCTGTAACTAACTGTTGCACAAAGGAGGTGCTGTTTATATTCATGTCCCTAGTGCAAGAACACTTGGCTCTTAACGATACTTTTATCTTTACAGCTATAAGGAAAACGAACTTTTAACTGAAGAGAGTTTTTAAATAACACCAACATCTATCTCTGTCTTGTCTGATTAACTTAGTAAATTCTAAATAATTAAAGAAAATTCTGATATTATGGTTGTTACCCTGGGAGGGGGAAGTGTAAATCATAATGTGCCTTACTATGTGTCATCTGTTTGACTTAATGTGGTTCCTCTGTAATACTGAAGTGTTTGAAAGCTGGGAAATAATAGCTTGACAGCTAAAGAAATCTGTCTCGTGTCTTGTTGCATATATTAAATCAAAGAGCTTTTGTAGACTGCCAGTAATGGTTTTTATTAGGCTATAAATACCTTTATCTTTTAAACTCCTTTTAAACTCTCCAGGGTGATGATGATGCATATCTGTGTGTTAATGAGGACCGTCGTGTTCGTGTAAGCACTGCCTATCTGAAGGGACGAAGTCCTCCTGTTTTGGATTCAGAGGTACATTTAAAAACAACTAAGACGCTTCCAGAAATGTAGGTTTGCAGTAATGAATGGTATCTTGCTGCTTTTTGCTTCTCTTTTGCACAGCAGCTGTAAAAAGTAAGGTGGATCCATAGTTCTTTAAGGTGAGATTGGTTGGGCTCTTGCTTCCTAGTAAGTGTTACCTTTGGAAGTCTAAATTTAATTTTTAAAAATAAGTCACGTGGTGGGAGCTTTACTCTGAGGAACTTTGTGCCCATTATTACCCTGTCCCTTTGCAATGGCTGCAGTTGCAATCGATATATCTTGCATTAAAGGTTGGAAGGGAAGAGAAGATTGTTGTCGTGAGCTGGAAAAATTGGTGGTAATAACACAGCAACATAAGGGTTGGACTTGACTTATTGACATACCTTCTAAGTTGGTATGCAAGAGATTTTTTTTTTTTTTTTTTTATCCCCCCTTCCCTGCTCAGCCCCCGGATTGTTGCCGTTCTTTCTTTGTGCACCAGTGACACTCTTGTCTTTTGCAGGATTACTTTTAAGCTAAGTACTCTGCCAGTCTGAAAAGACCGGGTATTAAATGTCTCCTGTTTCACAGAATGCCCTTGAAGATGTGTCATGGAGGCTTGTGGATGGTGTTCTTCAGTGTTCTTTCAGAAGGAGTATTCATCTTCCTGCTTATAAAGGGAGATTTAATCTGGATGCCAGTTACTACATCTTTCTGGCAGATGGGGAAGCTAGTGAAGGTAAACTTGACTTACATATGGTTGCTTTTCTTTGAACAGCTATGAATGAGTTATTAACCCTTATGCAAGATACGACTTAGCTCAGAATTAGTATCTGAACTAAGGTTTCCAAGTTTGAGGCACTTAGTCCAGTTGTCTTTACTGCCTCTCTGGATCATGGGTTTGGTTTTGGAAGTTATAGTAAATTTACTCATGTTGTGTGCCTGCTTGATGCTCAGAACTGGTTGCTGCTTGAGAGCTGGCTGTGTCTTTTTAAAATGGAGACTAGCATCAAAGGAAATTATTTTTCATGTCTTGTGCATGTAATGGAGAAAACTATTTCCTGTAGAGGAGTGAACTGGTTCTTGTACATTAAGTTTGCAAGACAGCTTAGATGTCATCTTAGGTTCTTACTGCATTGTATCAGAAACTTGGTATGTATGATTATGCTCAGTGATCACAACAGGGCTTGCATTCATAAATAAGGAGTGGGCAGACTTAAAGTGCAGTGGCTTTCATCAGCCGTAAATAAACCACTTTATGTCACTGCTTAGGTGGACTAATACACAAACATTGTCGTCAGCCTCTGATCGCCAATGGAATATACAACATCACAGGCCTTCCTCAGGATATTGGAGGTTCCCGGTCCCCACGACTCGTCAAGGCTCATGGTAAGCTGCAACTTCTACTTTTGTTTTCCAGTTCTAGGCTTGATGAGACTGGAGAGTTAAGTTTTCCTCATTATTGCAGAGTAGGTATTTCTTCTTGTCTTTCTGGCATTCATGTTATATATACAGTTGGCTAGCAACATCTGAGACTGTGAAGACACAGTAAAGTTATTAATAATTTTTCATTTCAAGAACAGCATTATAAGATTCTTTTTGCCCAGGAAAATGAACCTGCATTTGCCTTTTCTTGTTTCTTAAACTTATAATTAGAACTTGTTTCTGTTTACGTCTTTCTCTCTGGTTTAATTTTTTTTAAATTGCATTATTGGTTTAATTCTATTTGAAATGAGAAACCTCTCAACCAGCAGTCCAGAGGCATTGAAGTTAATAAGAATTTTTTCTCTCATGGTACTGAACTTTAAAACAGGCCCGTGAGAGAACTATCATTCGTTCTTTGTCAAACAAAGTGTAAGAAATGTCACCTTTCATCCTCTTGACATCTAAGGTAGTGACAGAACAGCATCTCTGACTAGTGTGTACTGACTGTACTGGTGCATATGAAATGTGCAGTAGCCAGAGCTGCTCTGTTGTGCTGTGTGAGCATAGTATGATTATCTCCTATATGCATGTTTGTACTCTCTAGCAAGATAAATGCTATAAAGTCGTACTCTGAACTGATTAAAAACTTATCACTAGTAAATTCTGACCATATGCATACAGACTGAACTATTACAGAGTCTTTGAAGCTGTATAGTTATGCAGCTAAATTACTCATGTTTACCTTGTATTTTTTCAATTTTCAGGAGCGTTAATGTTTGTTGCATGGATTACCACAGTTAGTATTGGTGTTATTGTTGCACGATTCTTCAAACCTGTCTGGTCTCATTCATTCCTGTTCGGAAAGGAGATGTGGTTTCAGGTGGGCAAAATCTCCCCATATCTCCAGCTGTAGTTTCTAGCTTTATTGTAAGCAAAATTATAAACCTACTAGATCCAAGAAACATGATATTAAACTTGGTGTGATTTTTATCTTTCTTTAATCTTATAAAATGGAACAATTTACGAATCGAAAGTTCACCTACTTTACTAGTGAAAGCAAAGTCTAAAGAGGACACTAAGAACATCTTTAACTGTAGATCTGTTAAATGTATTTTAATGGCGTATTAAGAAAGCTGTAGAGATTCTAAAAGTAAACTTAACTTTTCTAGGTGCATCGTATGCTTATGTTGACCACAGTCATACTTACAAGTATTTCTTTTGTGTTGCCTTTTATATACCGAGGAGGTTGGAGCCAAGTAAGTGCGTGCTTTTGTTTTGTTTAACTCAGATGTAAAGGTTGGACCAAATGAATGAGAAGGAGGTCTGCTGCCGACTAACATGTTACAACTATTGCCAAAGGAAATTACTGTGAAAGCTGTCCTTAAGTAGGCTAATTTCAAATCCTAGCAACACAGAAGAGGAATGTTGCCTCCTTTAACTACAATTGAAAAACTTCAGTACTTTCCTTCCTGCCTCTTTCTCCAAAATAATGTCCTTGCTCACAGTTTCCTTATGTGCTAAATTGATTGTCTTCCCATTTCCTTAGAAAACTTAAATTTTAGAGGACAGTGAGGATGGGACAGCTGACTTACTAATGTGGTAGACCTGCTGGGAATAAGCATTTTTATGAACTTGGACTTGATTAACTGTATCCAGTGATTAAGCTTAGTCTGGAACATAATAGACAATCGACAATACCTGTTATTGTTACCTGTATAATATTTGGTGCAAGGAGATATCAGAAATTGGAAAGACTAGAGAGTATCTAAATTAAAGGTGGGAGAATGCGGTCACAGGTATGAGCTAGGAGCTAGGGAAATTCAATAAAATGTTTTAGGGTTAAGATTAGAACAGATAGGGTGAGAGGGGAGACCACTGCTGGGAGGAGTTATGAAACAGGCCTTTTCTGAAGACACAGGATTGAGGATGAAGAGCTTGGAGCATAGCTTTTACAGTTGTATTACTCTCTGCTCTTCAGCTGGTAGAATTTCTCAATACAGCAAAAAGGTGGGACGAACCCTGGGCAGACTTACTAGTGTCTCGTGCTGCCAAGGAGAACCATGTCCATCCAGCTGCAAGGCAGCTTACTGTGTCCTGTCGCCTCTGCCAGTCTAAACACAGTGCTGTTCCACCATTGTAACTTACTAATACGAGCATAAATAAAATTATCAACTTCTTGGTATTGTTTCTATATCTTTATATAGATATGACATTAAAGTAAAATATCCTGTGTTTAGCAAGCAGGTTTTCATCCCTACCTCGGCTGTACCGTGATGGCTCTGACAATCTTTCAACCACTTATGGCAGGTTTCAGACCATCTCGTCATGCACCAAGGTACTCATAAATTACAGCCACAGGAATTAAATATTCTTGTTTCTTTAAAAATTCTTTTTATATTGAAAAATTACCTTTAAAGTAGGTATCAATGTTCTTTGATTTCCCCCCGCCCCCAACTGCATCATCAATAAAATCTTTTCATTGTTTTGTAGGAGGCAACTGTTTAACTGGTTTCACTGGAGTACTGGTACAACAGCTAGAATACTAGCTGGTGAGTAGGAGTAATAGTTGTAACTCCCTTTTAAGTGATTTAAAGGAACTTTGTTCATTGTCTGGGCTATTGCTAATCTAAAACATCTGTGCACATCCGGTCCAGGCATCTCTGAAGATTCTTTTTCTTGCTGGCCATCTTCTGTGTGAGTTTTAAGTGGCCATCAGGTACAGATTTAGGGAGAAAAAGTGAAACCAAAAGAAAATGTAAAACCAAAGAGATTACAGACAAATCTGAAAGGTCTCTGTAATGAGAACCTGTTCTTATCTTGAGTAATTTCTTTTTGTCTTAGAAGATTTGAGGATAGTGTTCTGACATTAACACAGCTCAATTATTTCATGGGAGAGGGGGAACTCGCCTACAGAACTAAAAGCTGGGCTTAATTCTATTAATAGTGACAAGTTTCCACAGGCAGCTTAAGCACAAGTGTTGCGGTGATTGTGGTCCTGTTCTTAGAGTCAGAAATGCTAGTGCTTTTGTGACTGGGATGTGATAGGGCACCGAGCAGGTTGAAAACTGTCTTGGCCGCCTCCTTTTCTCTCTGCCTTCCACCTCACACTACCAGGAAAAAAAAAAAAAAGCTTTTGGCTGCATGGACTCCTTTAACCTCATTCCCCGAGCAGTTGTAGGCAGTTGATGGGATATCTATTGCCAAAGGTATTGAGAGCGTTTTTTTAACTATCCTGACACACTCTTAGTGTCTTTCTATCTTGTTTTTACTGACTAGTGGTGACTATGTTCTTGGGAATGGATCTACCAGCACTTGACCTACCAGACCCATGGGACACCTATACGATGATTGGTTTTGTAGCTTGGCATGTTGGTGTTGATGTTCTTCTGGAAATACACAGCTACTGTCTCATACGTAAAGGTACAAACACAACAAAACTGCTGTTGTTACCTTGCTTGCTGAGGAGTGCGCAAAAAATGTAACAGTGGAGTGAATTTCAGGAGGTGTTCTTTGGCCTCTAATTTGGAATCTGAAAGGGAATCATTCTTGAGTAATAGTGTCATATCTTCTGTACAAACTAATATGGGAGTAAACTAGTGTTCAAGAAAATTGAACTAGTGTTCAAGAAAATTGTTTTTATGCTGTTTTAAATAGTAGCCTCTTACTTCTCAAACTACATTTCATAGGGGCAGACTGAAAAGTGCAAGTGTTTTCCAAGAATCTATCACTGCTATGATTTTGATTCCAGGTGGGTAGGTAAAGTCCAGGTTAAGTCATGCAGATTTAGTCTGCATTTTATTGTGACAAATTGCTGGTATGAATGGCTGTTATTGCACGAGCAAAATGGTTAGAAACTTGAGCACAAACGCTTGCAATTTTGAGCGAATACAGGAATGAAGGTGCAATCCCAAGTCCAGTATGTCTAGTGAAGAGACTGGTAGTAATTTCATTGGAAATTCTTAGCTTCACTGGCTGGTGCCACTGAGAGGAGATGAATGTGCACATGTAAACGACCTGTATCTAAGGCAGAGATGAGACATCTGCAGAATTGAAGACGCATGATTAGTTAAGAGGCTGTGTAAGGTGGCACATGGAGAATGAGGGATTATAGAAGATGTGAATTTGAATTTAACTGCAGTAATTACTTCCTAGAAATAGAGAGATGAACCTGGAATGTTTGAACAATGAATATTCTCATGTTGACTAATGGAAAATACTTCTTAATGAAATCTAGTTATCTTAAAATGAAAAGGAAAAGGTTTTAGATCAAACAAATGTTTTGTTCAGCTCAAAACTCAGTGTTTTGATGATTCACTCTAGCAAAAGAGACAAAATGTTTTGCCACTTCAATGTCCAGAAGTTACTTTTTGTAATAATTTCTCACTTGTGCTGTGAGCATGATAGTACAGGTGAAATGAGACTTCCAAGTGCTTTTCAAATTTGATGCTGTGTAAGACTTAGTTACTTAGTCACAGGATCAAGACTTCTGCAGTATAAAAATGGAAAACCCTCTTCTTAAGAGCAGGCTTAACTTTTTTTCCTTCCCACTAACAGTTGAAGTGATAGAGGATGACAGAGTACAGATATTGCAGTCACTGACATCTGCAGAAGCAGAGGTAAGTCACAATTTTGTAAATAACTACTATAAGGTGGGATGATTCTTTGTTTAAACCAATAAAAAGACTGACACTTCTATGGCTTTTCTTCCCCTTCTCTTGCAGGGTCGTCTGTTTAAACAGATTGTGTTAACCATCTATGTCTGTGGAAATACAGTATTCCTCATTGCTTTCCTGGCAGCAATCAACCAAATATGAAATGAGTCATTGAGAATTTTGTGGTGAAATACTGTGCAGTTGAAAAACCTGCAAGGAATGCTTTCTATTACAACAGCTTGCTGAAGATGTAACTGAAGAATAATAGCACGTGTATGTCATGCTCAGTGTTAGGGAGAACTTGAATTCAAATCTGCAGAAGGATGCTACAGTCCTGCAAAAGCTGTCTTCTGATGGGACTTTTAATGGGAGTCTTTGCCTGAGTAAGGAATGGAGTCTCTCTTTTTTTTTTTAAGTGCAGTAACTAACTTGATTGAAGCTTATAGGTTAAGAAGACTGAGGAGATGTGCTGAAAATGCTGTTTTCATAGTCAGTTCCCTAAACCTTTTGTGAATATTGAGATAACTGGAAAGATTGATCTGGAATCTGTCATATCTGTTATCTTGACTGTGTTCTAATGGCATGTGATGTGGCAACTTCCTGCTCATGACAGTTTTGGTGTTTAAAAAAAAAAGTAGTGAAAAACTATCACAAATGCAGGTTGATGCATGAGCTAAATGCTGTTGTCTGTCTTTGCAGTTAAATGCAAAAAAAATTCTCCGCTCTAAGAGCGGTACGCTTATATAAGCGTATGAGTTTGGGAACTTCAGTCCTTTAGTAAAACCATTTGCTTCACTCAAAATACTGTTCTGTCCCATCCATTTCAGTGCTTCTAGTCCATAAAGAGAAAATGTGTTTGCAATATAAGTGCATTAAAACCAGTTTACTTACCCAAAACTCAAACAGGAAGAACCTATATGTGTGCATGGATTTCTGTGTTTTGCTGTCTTTGGTTGCTTGTGGCTTCTGAATTACTTTCCTGTGTGAATAAGATGGATTTATGCCACTTGATGCTTAAGTGGAAGTGAAAATATTTGCTCAGGAATGTTGCATTTAGGAGTTGGTTTGACTTCAGGAAAAGCAGCTTCTGTTAATCCTAAGTGAGAGTCCTTTGAGCTGGCATATCTGGGAGACAGAACTGTCTTTATAAGAATATGGGAGGGCATTTTTTTAGTCTAAATATATGAACTATGAAAGGGGAATGGAAAGAGACTATATTGTTTAACTTTTTTGGTTGATGGTTTGCCTGAGTATGGAAGGACACTCTTGAAATGACATCTCAGAAGTGAACCCTTACTATGGCATGCAGTTCAGTGCTTTGCATTTGGTTTTTGCAGCTCTGAACAGTTTGCTTCCACACTTCTTCATTTTTGATACTGGAAAGTATTGATTTTTAGTTGTAATGCTTCAAAATGTATCTCCAGCCTTGGACTGGTAAGCAAGCTGGGAATAAAGGTGTTGGAGTATTAAATAGAATAGTAAATAGAGAGGCCTGGCTTGGCGTAGACTATTACAGCAGCATCTCTTTACTACCTGATGGCCAGCTCTAAAATACTTGTACATGTGGGTCAGGTAGTGGTTCTCTCCACTTAGTAAAGCTGTCTATTTCTGTCTCTTCCTCCCAGCTCCCCAAATCTACAGTGCAGCCTATTGCAGGGACAAGTCATACTCAGAAAGCTACAAGTTCGTGTTTGTAGTCAGTGATCTTTTTGGCTGCTCAAGTAACTGGTTTAGCCATAAGGGCGTTTACAGAGCTGGGATTAATCCCTTTGTCACCAGCAGCAGACTGCAAGTGAGTGTACGTTGAATTGTCCTCGTTCCTCCTGGAAGCTGGATAAGTCAAGTGCAGATTGGGAAAGGGGGACTATGAAGAAATATGGCAAAACGCCAGCTGAAGGGCAAGAAGCATATGGCTAATTGTGTGGGTTTGTGGTGGGGTGGGTTTTGGGTTTTTTGGGGTTTGGTGGTTTTTTTTTTGTTTTGTTTTTTTTTTTTTTTTTTTTTTTTAGAAAACTCTGGTCTCAAAAGCCTGGGAATGAGGCCCATCTAGTGCTAAAGTTTTGAGGGACTCTTTCGTATACCATGAGTTGTGGAAGAAAATCTCTCAACCTAGACATGATTGATGTCTTTTTAAATTAAAGTCAATGCCGGGTTCTTTCTGTAATACAATAGGTATACTGTGTGTTGTTTCATTTGCATCTGACAATGAACACGGGTTTTTAAAACATGAATGTAAATATCTTAAGCTTTTTGTCCCTTTTAGTAAGGTGAAAACACTAACAAATAGAAACTAGAAAAAATAGTCTTGCCTAGCAACAAAATGGATTGTCTGTTTTCTTTGTGTATGTTTTATAAATTAAAGCTATCTAAATGCTTCCTGGAGAAACTCTTGTTGAAATTGAATGTTAAAATAGTTTCATTCCATCATGGAGAGTTTCTTTTCCTCAAGAAGAAAATTCCTTGTCCCACATCTAATACACCTTTGAAAGTTGGCAAAATTGCCAGTTGCTCTGGATAAGTTGTTCTTTCCCAGTGCTAGCAATATTGTGTAGCTTTTTATGTGAGGCCTTATGTGCAGTATTGTACTTTAGTTGATTGAAAGACTTGTTAACTTTGTGTGATGACTCTTCACACAACCACTCCTACCCTCTTCCTACATGACTAGTAAGAGGAGGCAATGTGTCATTGTATTCTAGTGACTTCTAAAATTTCTGGTATACTCCTTTGGAAAAAAGAAGGAAGTCTATGGAAATGTTTGGTATCAGCAGAAAAATGGGAAAATGGCTACTATGTTTTCTTTTATTATTTTTCTTGAATTATAAAATATTGTAAAGAAGAAAATTTTCATTGTTTTGCTTCATAAAGGAATCCCAGTGAAGTCAAGAAAATTTGACAAAAAGGTTGAGAAGGTTTCAGTGTTCTCTCTTACTCTCAGATTAAACTTGTGATGACAACTCAACATTAGCATATTTTTGTTTGGGTTCTTCTAGACAGGCAAAGGCTCTCGGTCAAGTAGAAACTTGTGATCAGTCTGGCAACAAGTAGTGTACTGTTTTGATTGAGTAGTTAGGTGCATCCTCCAAATACTGGTCATCTGCTCCTGACTTTACAAATCATGTCTCTTGCATGTATTTTGAACGAAAACTGATGCAAATAGCTCAAATGCGGTGGAATTCACTGCTACTCTGCTTTACTTGAAATAATTTTTCTGCTAGCTGACATGCAGACTGCAGAATGAACTAAGAAAAGGTGTGCTTTTTTATCTCCTTCTTACACTGTTTTCTATTTTGTCAAAAACGACAAGATTGGGAGACTTCATGTTCCATGTAATAATGCCCATATTTTTCCTTTACCCAGGTTTGGGAATGCTAGAGAGATCGCCTGCCTTTTGTTTTCCATCAGGGTTTGTAACGCTACGTGGCGCTCTTGCTCAAATAACAGCATTTTTATGCTGCTTGCTTTCTTCAGTCTGTCAGTGAGAGGCTGAGACATGTCACGGACGTCCAAAACAGGACGTGTTCCTGGATGAACTAACTGGAATAATTTTCAAGCTTTATTAAGAAACTCAGTCTTTAAATTCAAGCCAGTTCATACAGATAGACGTTATGAAATGAGCGTTTGCTTGATACCTATGCTTAAGCTTTTCTTTGAACAGTTATGGCTATTTTCTTTTGTCATTTGTGTAAACTGTGGTCTATGTGGGTACATCCCTTTCCAAACAACTTAAGATGAATGGCAATCATTGAGGAAAAACTTCTGTATTGAAATGCAGAAGATAGCAATTTATCTCAGTGCTTTCTAGACCTTCGGTGTGGGCTGAAGTAAGAAAGACTCCAAGTGAATAGAAGGATGGTTAACAAGGAAGATCTGCTAGTAATTCTGAGAAATTCTTTGTACACGTCAGTCTGATCCCAGCTTCTCTAAGGGGTATGTGTGAAGAGGGAAGCTGTTGCACTTGCTTACCTGAGGGAGTGGCGTGGCAGAATTGGCACAGGAGAAATGCTTCGAAACATGCTTGGTAGCATCTGTTTTAGCTCACATGTGAGCTAATTCAACCGCTGTATAGCTTCCGCTGGTCTTCCTCGCAGTGTGCAAAAGTGACTTTTACATATTGTAAAACACAAAAGCTGAACATCTGCATCACACTGAGCCAGGTATCTATGATAGTCATCCTGGACAAATGATACTGCACTGAGAAGGACTCCAGCTTTGCCTTTGTTTCAAAGAGACTTCTATCTTACTGGAGCTTAGAAATCATTTGGCTTTAATGATGAATTGGAATTTTACATGGCATCTGTACTGACATGTGAAAAAGATGGTTTGTCTTGTAATTCTGTTCTTGTTGATTATGGGATGTGGGAAAGCTCTGGGGCTGCAGCACTTGGATGATGAACATCCCTGCTTCCTGGAAGCACACAACTCTTGAATGCTCCATTTTGTGTCTCTGTTCCTCCAAATTAATGATCTGATACCCATGGTGCTACATAGCTAGTCTATTAGTGTGGGACAGTTCAGATTCATCTGGCACAAACGGAATAGTTTTAATATATGACATCAGAATTGCCACATGGCAAAGCAGAGATCTACTGAGCCCAGCCAGTATTGTCTCCAGAAGTGGTAGTAATGAGTGCTTAGAGCAAGAGATGTAACAAGATTGCAGTGGTGTTATCTCTTCCCAGTAAAATTTCCTTGCTACTTGCCAGAATCAGTGCAAGAGTGTTCTCAGCTAGAAACTGCAGCTGAACTGTGAACTTTTGCAGTGATTGGATTTTATCTATGAAGTGTGCAATGAATTATTAAAAAAAAGTTAAAAAGTTCTATTAATGCTTTTGCCCTCCCATTTAACTAGTCACTGTGAGAAAGTGCTTCTTGTTTTTGTTCTAAGCCTGCTTCTTGATATCATTGTTTAATAATCTGTATTTTGTTTTTACCTTCCTGCTTTTATCACAGTTCTCTAGGCCTCTCATATCTGTGCCTTACTGTCTTTTTCCCTGTATGACTGCTGCTGTATTTAGCCATGTCACACTTCTGATGATCCTCATTACCCTTCTCTATTTGTCTCTTCAGAGATGGGGTGACCAAACTCTACTCAAGTTGTAAATATGAAGTGCTATGACAGAGTTGTGTTTTGATTTGTTTTCCATGCCTTCCCTAGTGAATCCTAAAGCTCTCTTCGTTTGCACGGCTTCTGAGCATGGAGTTGATATTTTCAGAGGACTAAAATAATGCCAAGGTGTTTTGCTTCCTAGCCAAGAGGTTTGTAACACCAGCTTAACAGCTGCTTCTCATGCTGTGTATAATTAGGGTTATTTCTGGTTTTTTACATTACTTTTCATGTGTTGGTAGTGAATTTCACCTGTAGACTTACTACGCATTCACTATTGTGAAGTCTCTCTTCAGTCTCCTTTCTTTTAAGCTACTTTGGTTAATATTATGTTGGCAGCAACATTTTTGGCCTCTTTTTCAGATCATTTAAGTTTAATAGCGCAGATTATTGAGGAAGGCAAGGGATGAGTGTCCATAGCAATCTGCCGCTGTTACAAAAACTGCTCATGACTACTTCATAGCCCTGTCCTACACTCACATTTTTTTGGTATATCCTGTTAAGAACCTTTTGAGAAGATGTAAAAATAATAATAAAAAAAAAAGAGTTGAGGGTAACTTCCTCTACTCTCAGAACCAACAAGTAACAGAAACATAAAGGGAAAAAAAAAACCACTATAAAAAAAAACACAAAAAAAATCCAGGATAGACATAGAGAAAGTGTAATATAGTTAAATTTATTTGTTCTTATCTACTGTTCCACTCTCCAGGTGACTGCCTCTGGCCAAAGTCCTAAAATATGAGATTATTACCTACTTCAGACTGGGAACCACCAAGTGTTTAGAGGCTACAAGTCAGCTGATTACTACCATTGTGCCTCAGTATGAGGCAGTAGCTTCAGTTTCCTGCTTTGAAACGAGGAAGATCAGCAAAAAAGTTATGGTCATTTTTTGCTGGTACAGAATTTGAGTCAGCTACACTAGAATAACACAGCCTAAGCCTTCTCTGTTTAGTGATTCAAACCAGGCTAAGACCTAGGAAAGAAAAGCTATCGTATTGACTTGAATCTAAGGATGTAGTGCTATGAGGCACTTTTTCCCTCCCAAGACTTATATACTGGAAAAATCTGACTTGCATGTGACTTTTTTTTTTTTTTTTTTTCCCCCTAGGTGTAGTTGTACCTTATGGCTGCCTTTAGGGCCTTTAGCACCTCCCTTGTGGAAAGAATTAACCTGTTCTTTGGTGGGAGCCTTGCACCTTGCTGGAGAGCTGTGCACAGCAGCAGGTGCACCTACAACAGACCTCCTGTTGCAGCTGCAGGACAAGCCATTGGCAACTCAGTATTTCTGATAGGAGGCTTGTGCTGATTTTAGCTCCCCAGCCAATTGAAACCTGTATACTAAGCAGTATTTTTTTGTGTGTGTGCGATGGACAGGCACTGCCTGTCTGGCAGCCAGTTTCTTGGAAAAGCAGGGCTTTGAGCAAGCTAGGAGGTGAAACCATGCCTGGGAGGTCAGGCTGTTCACAGTGTTATGCATGGGATGGATTTGTGAGGTTGTGAGTGGGCAGCACGTATGTGGCATGGAGAAGGGTGCAGGGTCTGAGGATGGCTATATTGTCATACATAAAATAGAAGGGTGGGTGGACTGTGGAGCTCTAGAAGGTGGCTAAATATTTAGATGCTGACTTTAGTATTTTTGGTTTGTTTTGCTGTTGCTTAAGGAATGCTTTAAATTTTGGCCAAGGTGGTATGCTTGGAAACCAGCTCTTATATTTACTTTTCTTCTGGCTCCTATCTCCCATGTTTAGTTTTTTATTAACTAATGCTTTTAGCAGAAAAATGCTGGGACAGCATTTTCAATCAAAATCGGGTAGATTGGCACACTTCAAAGTGAAACAATTTCCTGTGAAGTTCTGTGGAGATGCGCATTTATCTGCTCTGTGTATATAGCAACAATGTACTCCTGATCATGGGAACAGGTATGCACACGTCTTCATACTTGGATATACACTGCATTTATGCTCTTAGGTAACTTTCCACTACTTTCAGCAAGATCCAGGATGTGATTTGTGTGTATGTGGTAGTTGGTCAAATCTAAAAGTCTGTTTAAAGTCCATTGGATTATGCAGAGGGCAAAATAACCCAGGTGCACAAAACAGAGGAGCAAAACAAGCATTATGATCCAAAATAGATGTGTTGAAGAAACTCTTCTTAGCTTTATTCTGCTTTGAGTAGTCAATTTTACTTCCATGTCATTACAGTTGTTAAATCACCTTTTTCCCAAGCTTTGCCATTCTCATCCTCAGAGCTGAAAAAAGAAAACAAACAAAGCCATTGCATTTTGAGACCAACTTTCTATTTCTGATGTTAAATCTCCTTATTTAGAAAAATGAAGAATACACGTACCTCCGGTGGTTAATCCAGCAGAATAAGCATTGTTTTAGTGTTACAGAAAGAAATCAGTAGAAGGGATTAGTTCTGGTAATTTTGCAATAAAGTGAGTATATTAAATAATGATGATGGAGTAATTTCTTGAAAATTAGCACAGCTCTCTTCTAACTTTTGTTTCTGTTACCCTTACTAACGAGTTGCAAACAGATTGTGTTGTCCTTTACTAGATGCAGACAGATTAAAAGGGTGCATGAATAATTAAACAAACTCTTTGTTTAAACTAAACTCCTCAGTGGGAGCTGTAACTGTTTGGAAGCCTTTTTCTTTTGTGTTGATGTTCAGAGAAAACTTTCTTCTCCTCCTGGTGTAGTGAGTCAGAGTGGGAGTTAGTCATATTCCTGATTTAAGTATGATGGAGTAACTTAGTACCTGTATAAACATCAGGATGGCTATTGTCTGTAACTGGGTATAATGTGGGTTAGCTTGAAAGTGACAGTGCAGGGCAGATGATTAAATGTTAAGGTTATTTTTAGAACAGCAATATAATGCTGTTGTTTGATATGTAAGAGCCTCCCCCCACCACGTAGTTGATCCGAGAATGCAGTGGGAATGATCTCCAGCCCTCTGACCTGTTAGTTTGAAGAGTCACCCAAAATAGCATGTCTCGTTCCTTCATCCTGCATATGTCTCTGTACTGAGAGACGGGGTCAAAGCAGCTGTTTACTTGATTTATGCGTGTCAGCAAATGGCCGACTTGAATTACGCTTTGAATGCTGAAGTTGTTGCAAACCATAGGAGCATCTGTAACTTTATATCATAGAGCCACTGATGTTAAGCTTAGCTTTTACGAAGACCCTGTGTAATGTTTGCAAACCAAGGAACTCTGAAGGATTCAAGTCCTGTTTGTGGTTTGAGAGAACAATCAGTCTGATGTTTCACTTATAGCCAATAGTGCACTTTTGTCTTGCCCTATGCGTTACAGAAACGGATGGCATGTGTGAATCGTTCTCTAATAAAAAAGCTTTTTTGTATATTACTTTCTTCAGTGCAAATGGAGCTGTCTCCATTGTGTTTTTTGAAGGTTGCACAGCTTCCGGTGGTAAGGAAAAACGTTAGCTCATCTGGATTAGCTGCCTGCCAAAAACCTTTGACCTTCATGTCCCATGAGAGCCTGTTCCATGCTGTCAGTAGGTTTTACTGCCTGTTCAGCTTCAGTTTTTCCTTTCCTTATCCTCTGTGTCTAGCCTTTGTTCCCCCCCAAGGATTTTTAATTTCCCTAATGAGTATTGGATCTTCAAAACATTTGCACACTAATTCATTTGACTGAAATTTAAAGAAGAAAATAAGCTCTAATAATGCAAACCACTGGTGTCCTAATTATAGTGTTGTCACCTTTCTCTCTGTATGTTTTTTCTGAGGACACATATTTTGAGATATTGGTCTTCCACCAAGCTCATGGGGAAAGGAAAATTGGTCCCATATGGAAATGTCCTATCTTTCTGTTGGTTTGTGGCATGCTGAAAGCTGCTAATTTAATCTGATATTTTTCTATGTAGTTTGGCACATGGAACAATTCCTCTGCTTCCTAGTTGTCCTTGGCCATGTCACTAACTTTTTCAGTAACTTGCTCTGAAGGTTCATTTCTTTCCCAAAGCAAGATTGTTACAAAAGGGACCTTTTCCCTGGTCTGTCATGTGCTTCCTTACTTTCCATTCTCTTTCAGAGAGCCTCAGTGTTTAATGTTCAAATGCTGAAATTGCCTCCCAAAGCTTTCATTTCAGAGGGGATTATATTTTCTGTTATACGGTTTGTTGTTTTAGTAATGAATGATGAGGTACCAAAAATAATTTTGACTTCCCTCTTTTCACTGGTGGTGTTTAGGGTGAACCTGCTAGGCTGGGCATCAGTGGCTGCTTTGAAAACAATTCCTTTCCCGAAGAAACAGCTCTATGTAATACATTGTTCTAAACTTCAGCGGCTTTCCTGGTTTTGTTTCCTTTTTTAGAAGTTGCAGTAGGATTACAGGACTGCTTGGGAAAAATTGAGTCACTTCCTGGCTTTTTCCACTGATCAAAATGTCCCGGGGAGTGCCAATACATAGGTGGAGGGGTAAAGAGGAATATGGCTTAGTTCCAAATTCTGCTGGGCACTTAAGACAGTCACTTGGAGGCAGCACTGACTGTTGTGTATTTTTGAGGCAGTTGCCAAACTGCTTTTAATTTATTTTTTTCCTGATTGGCTTTTAATCCTTGGTAGAATACTTCTAAGTAAATGAGTAAGACCACATACAGGTTAATGGAACAAATTATCAAATGCCTTTGCTAGATTTACACTTATCCCCCTTCCCTGAAAGTCAGTGTTTGTTTTCCACTAACCTCAAAGGAGAGAGAACCCAGATTGTTCAGAGAGTGCCTATGAGTGTCAGGGAGAAATGAAGAAGTTTCAGACTCTTCTTTCAGGAGATGAAAATAAGCAAAGATTGTTACAGATAGAGGTGCTCGGCTGACATCTCATGGCCTCTGTATGGCCCACCCGAACAGTACTGCCAGCTCATAGTTACTTCTTGGAAACCTCTTTCCCAGGATCTGTTCAAGAGCACCCACGCAGCGGACTGTAAGATGAATGAATTGTTTCAGTAGCAACCAGCTGGTGTGTGAGTGTTGCTTCTTCATTGTATGCCTATACATACGTGACGGGGGAATTAAGGGACTATCCACAAAATAAACCACCCCAGCCCATTATATCTTGCCTGTGCCAGCTACTTCTGCTTTCAGTTGCTGGCAGCAGCCTTTGGTCCTAGAGGACAGAGGGAGGTGCACAGATGGCAAGATTGGTGCTTGAGAGAAGCAAAGATCCTCTCAAAGGACAGAAAAGTGCAGTGGCTTCATTGATCAGAAAGACTGGACAGCACTGCTGGAATATTTCAGGCTGTTGTGTACATGACTGCACGAGGTTGATACTCCTATAAACTGAGAGCATTACTTACCGAACAGCTCTTCCCAACCAGTGCATACCAATGCAAAAATATTTGACACTCCTTACGTGATCCAATGACCACACTCTCTCCTGGCTTTACCTGTATTGTAAAGAAATGCTGGGCTGCCAGTGCAGCTTTAGGCAGGGCCCAAACTTACACTTTTGCTACCAAATTGCAAAATTATTCAGAATATAGACTAGAAGAGGAGCAGGGGGAGAATGTGGGATCAGGACCCCATATCTTCCTATAATTCAAGCACAGTGTTCTTTCCTTGAAGTGGAATGTGACTACTGTCTGAAATCTGCTGCTCTGTAAATACACTTAAATGCAGTTTAATTGTATGCATTAAAGTGCAACGTAATCATAAGGAAGAGTTTTCTGTGTTTCTGGAAGATCTTGCTATTGTTCTTTCAATCTTTTATAATAAAACTTTATAGTAAGAAATAGATACCTTGAGTATTAATAGAATATAAAAAGTGTTCAAAAAATAACACTATGGACTATATGGACTAACCACATACAGTGATGAAAACTGTTTCATTGTCTTTCAGAGGCTATAAATCTAACTCAAGTTCACAGAAAAAATGCATAAACATTGTCAAGGCAAGGGTGGCAATGGTGATTCCAAAAAAATGTAAAATAAAACTGATTATTAAACAGTCTTTCCGATTTAAGGAGCAATTTGGATTATCTAGGAAGTAGTTAGAATGCAGATAAGCACAAAAAACATACCGGTGAGGAGACAATGTTAAGAAGCAATGCTGTTAGTTACCTGGTAGAAATGAAAACTAATTCTGCTAATTGAGGTAGCATTAATGGAACTTTTAATTGTCACTTGAAAAAGAACCACTTTTAATCTTTGAAGGTTACAGAAATGGCTTTTCTGAAAACTTATTTTCCAAATTGTGATATGGTAACTAGTGCATTGCTAAAGATGAAATAATTCAACAATACCAAAATGTAGATTGGCATTTGTTAACAAATAAGAGCAGAGGAATTATTAGTAATTGCATATTAGTCCATGAAACGAACCAAATAGTAAAGTGAAACAGTTGCTAGCAGATAAGAGTAGTATCAGTTTGCTACATCAGCGAACAGCAGCGACATGATTTTGCTTTTCTGTTACCTGTTAGAGAGGGATCTTCAGTACCATCTCCAGATACCTGGCCGTGAAGATGAGCACGTTGTGTCGGTGAACTCAAGCATTCCTCTTGTTCTCTCAGGGAGATGGAATTTTTGTGGGGTGCCTTGTTCAGGCTCGCGCCCAGACTGGTCACAGGGTTCATCTGTGGGACTTCTGTGATTTTCCTGCTCGATGGCTGATAAACCTGACTATAGTGGCCTATGGGATGATATGCTGGTTTCTCAGATTTGCTGTCATCTTCGTCATCATCATCAATGATAACTAATTCTGCGCGGATAACCCCATCATATCGTGACAACTTTTGGTCTGCTTCTGCATCGTCATCATCAATGCGCTGATAACCCATGAAAATCATTGTTACTGGCTCAGAATCATCCACATAACATGGTACAGCTTGGACAATGCTGTATTGAACATCTTCCTCATCTTGAGGTGCAAGGGATGTTTCATTAAGATGGCAGGGACTTAAGAACCTTGTCTCATTATGTCTTTCTCTTGTATTCTGGTAAGGTTTTAATTCCTCATGTGCAGCTTTTCTTTCTTCATTATCTATCATCCTGTTCTCAGGATTAGCACGCACTTTCTTCTCTGAATGCAAAAGTACTGGAGAGGGAGACTTTGGCTGTGCTACCTTTGGAAGATCAAGCCCATTCTCTTTATGTTGCTGCATAAAGGGCTCTGTTTTGGAGGAGAATTCTGTGTGATGATTGCTAATTCCATTAATCTCTTTTCTGTGAGTGTTTTCCAGTTTTGGTCCAGGGACTAATTTGTCTTTTTGAGGAGTAACTGGCCTGCAAAACTTGTTTGCAAACACAGGCTCATGATACTCGGTGGGAGACTGGGAATTTTTTTCAGTTGCCTGCCGTAGCAGGTCCTCCACCTCAACAGGAGCGAGTTCATCCATCCCATTTTGTGTTGCGCTGCCATTTGAGGACACTGCATAGACTGACTTCCTACCATCATCATAGACTTTAATTCCTGTCTCTTTAAACTCCTTTGAGGGAAGAGGTATTGTTGATAACACTGTGTTTTCTCCTGTCTTAATGTCTTTTTCAACTTTAATTTCCATGGCAAACAATGCTGTTGAAAGAAACAAGTGCTTAAGCTGATTATGCAGCAGCTGCAAGAAATTTAGAAGAGTTCTGACAGTGATAGAGAATGACTGTCAGAATGAATTATCAAATATGTGAAATTATCACATAAGAATCCAATATAGTGGTTATGTATTTTGAATGCCCCCTTCCATCCTGTCAAAACTTGAAATGGAAAAAAATATTTTTATTTGGATCTAATTCTGTGAGAAAAAATAAGCTGTTGAGAAGCCAGTCTTCATTACATGATTGACTGAGAAAGCCAGGTTTAACCTTGGTGTTGTGCGGGGCAATAGCAGTTGAAAGGGCTCAGCATGTTACAAGACTAAAGAGTCTTGGGTATTCAGAAGGGTAAGGAGGCTTTGTAGCAGTTGGGAAGTAACCAGACTACTGCTGGCTTCCCAGTAGGTGTAAGTGCGGCTAGAAAATGTGAAATGTATGATATGAAGGGAGGAACTACTTAAAGTTATGCCAGGTAGAGGAACAAAGTGCTGGGAAGAAGTGTCAATTTTGAAAACACTTGAGCCTTATTCTCAACAGCACATACCTTACACCAGTGTCCCACCTCTAAGTTTTGATGACCTCACTGATAACATTACACAGCTTAAATGAGAGCAATGTTGTCCCATATCTGTAATGTTTATCCTTCCCTTAAATTGTTAGATTCAATTTATAGGAAGTCTGTGCACATATTGGCACCCTTTGGAATTATAATAAGCAGTACCTTTTCTCTTTTCTTCATCATCGGCGGCACCATGTGCCGTACTTCTCAGTGCGGAAGGCCTGAAATACTTGGGAAGGTCAGGTATGCTGGCGTATATGTAGTCTGCTGCCTCTGAATAAAGAAGATCCACAAAGCATTTAGTATGTTTTCACCGACTTCTACAAGAACGTTTTTAAAAATTTTTTTTAACTAAACATACCTTTTTCGACTCCTGCTTTTTCAATCTTCACAGACTAGGAAAGAGAACCATTAACAACAGATGTGATTAGTCAGTTTTAAGATGTTAACTAGACAATACTTTGCTTTACTTGATAGTTTTAACTTTTTGTGTGCACAGCTTCATACTGAGAAGGGTCTAAAAGTGGAACCTGCTCAGTTGGAGCATGGCAAGGGAGAAAGTGAAATTTTTGGGGGGTCTTTTTTCACAATATGATTCTAAGTCACACAGGGAAGGACAGGACATTACAAAGTGTTAATCAGTGACTTAGCCTCACACTGTGGCCCAAGCTAGTTGGCTTCAAAGATTTTTCAAAGGCTCTACTTTGGCTTTCCAGTTCTGTTTATCTCCCTGCTTACCTTCAGAGAGAGTGTATGTGTGTGTAAGGACAACTGGAGAACTGAAGTTTAGTTTCATGACTATATTTTTTTTGAGATGGTTTAAGATGATTTTCAAATACCAAAATGACCTTTTGACAAAGACTAACGCCTGATAATGTTAAGTTATGTATTACTATAACCTCTCTTAGGGACTTGGGGGAAAAGCATGCAGTTTAGCTGGGCACATCACCTTAAGGAGTATGAGTACATCAGCCTCTGTACACTGTCTATACTTGTTATGTCTGTCTCTGGCTGAGATGCAAAGTTGCTGGCTGGTGTCGGTGACAGTGCTATTTTTTTTGAGATATGCTATAGATGAGTAATGATAGGAATTGCTCCCCTACCTCCATAAACAAGCAAATGGAGACGTTTGGGTACTTGAACAGTATAACACCTTGACCCTCTTGTATTTGAACTACTGTCACTTTAGACAAAAGCTCATGACTACTTACAGGATCCAGCTAGCTCCCCTTTCCCCGGTCGTTATGATGAACGAGTAATAAATTCTACTTCTGGAGTAATTTGGCACTAACCTTTATTATCTCTTCTGTTGTTTTCTCAACAGACTTAAGTTTCTTTAAAATTGCTTCTTCCTTAGCCGAGACTTCCATTTCCTCTCTTTCCAGAGCCTCAATTTCCTTCTCCAGTCTGCAATCACAATTCCCTTTGATTTTAATACCAGGCAGAGAACAACATTGCAGATTCAATATATGGTGAATATGGACTTTAGTGGGACTGGTTCTACTTACCCTGACAAATTTTGCTGTAATACGAGATCAGCTTGTAATTTCACATGCATCAGGAAACACTGTGAAATAGTAGTACAATTTTCCTTTTTAAATGTACCTGCCATAGATTCTTTCTGAGCCTCCTTTGAAAACAGTGGCTGAAATCAACTTATTTTTCAGGAGGGAATAGATAAGGAATACAGGCCCCCACAGCATTTCCTCATCTCTAAGCAAGTTTTCTCTCCTATGTTGTCTCAAGAAATGTGATTACTCTGTTGTAATTAAGATGTAGGAATCTAGTATACAGACACCAGAGTTATGACTTAATTTGTTTGTCTCTTAATTTTGTATGTGTACTTGTATGCATGATGAAAAGAATCAAATTCTTTCGTTGTAAGAAAGTCAGAAGAATGTTCTTGTACCTGATAGTACTTAAGGGCTAGAGTACGACACCTCATATGCTATATTTTATTATATGTAGCCAAACTGTATTCAAGAGGATCTCCTGTGGAAGAAAGTTCTAGTCAATCTATAACTAGAAGCTACAATCCCAGAAGAACCACCTCTATCAATGGAAATCAAATTGCATTTGTATTTCTTAGGGATAGAACAGGTATCACTTTTTTGATAAAAATAATAATGGCATTTGCAAGTACTTTTTGTAGATAAAATAGCTCTTAGCTAATTTTCTAATATGAAAATTGATACTGCTAGAAATCATAATAGTGATGTGCTTTGCAGGCTACTTCTGTGAAGTGATAACTTCATAATTGTGTGGATTTTGAAAACTAAGCAACCGGCATAGTGGGAGGATGATCAAGAGACTAAAGTCTGAAGCTTTGTTGTTTTCTAGTCTGTCTGGGCTTGAGAATGAAGAATTTACAAACACCCAGGATGATGAAGGAACTTTCTGAGGAGTGTGTGTCTGTGTTCACCTCCAAGATGCAAGACGGTTCTCCAGGGTTTTGCCTGTGTGAATGTGGGTTCTGGGATTTCAAAACTCTTTGCTTTGGTAAAACAGGTGCAACAGTACTTGACTGATAGCCTGAAGCTTGATTCTTCAGGGGAAAAAATCTGGATTAAAAATACAACATATTGCTGATGTGGGTTGAGTGTTATTGTAGCGTTCCTGATAGACTAGACCAGAGCTTGTGTGGCTACAGACTCAAAAAATACTAGTAAGTTTTAAGGGCTCGTCTTTGGGGCTGTGTACTAAGGCCTTTGCAGACATACATGTTTCTTAATTAGAGTTTCTATTTTCTTAGCACTAAGATGTTTGATGAAACACTTCTAGACAGCAAGGTCCAGGATAAAATACCTAACCTCTACATATGTGAGAAAGGGAGAAAGCTATGCCTGATTAAAACACATCTCTAAGATAAAGTGTCTCAGTCAAATTCTTTTCTCTGGTGACTAAGTCAGTGACTTAAGCAGGCATCCGGTATCCTATTTTTTTTTCTTGTTTCTAGTCAAGACTTCCTTTCTGCATAAGCATATATTTGTTGGGTTTTAGATAGAAATTTGCCTTATTAGCCTAGTAGTTGGGAAGTCACTTTTCCATGAATACCTAGAATCGAGTCCAAATTTAACTCGCAACCAGAACTTGCACTGGATCTCTCATGCTGTAGGTGAGTGCCGTATAGCTTCAGTCCCCTGGTTCATCTACCTTCTTTTGGGGATTGTTTTTGGAAGAACTTATTTTAACTTAAAGGAAAACACAAAAGCAAATTTCTAAACCTTCCATATTTGAATGAAATGTCTCCATTGTTTTTGAATCCATGTCAGAATTGATGACTGTAGATTTAAGGCAAGTGCAACTGATACCCGTAGTTGCTGAGATCAGTGAGAATAGTTACAACTAGATGATCTGAGCCAAACTTACAAATAGAATAATGATGGCCTATAACCCTGATAGAAAAAATTGGTTTATGTTTTGACTTATTCTTTGGTATGTGCTAGGATCCATGATATTACACCAAAGTCAACAGTAATAATAGAAGCCTGTTATCCCTTTAAAGTAAGCCCTACTTAAACTCAGATTTGTAGAGCTGCAATGATAGGATACTATGTGGACTTTTGTCTGTTAGTGAGAATATCCTCTTCTTTGAAACATGAAGGTATAACAGACCTCAGAACTGAGATGTGGAGAAAAATGCGTTCAGGATGAAAGTAAAAGCTAGAAAAAAGATATTTCAAAGCAGATAATGCTTTGGACCTGAGCTCTGCAAGATGCCCTTAGCACCCTGCTCAAAGGTACTGATTATAGTGCTAAAATTAAAAAATTTTATAGTGATGGGGGATGATATTCTTGGAAGGCTATAAGAGAAAGTAATGCAATGACGATGTGCCCTATTTCTGTACTTCTTACAGAAAAGTATTTGTTTAAAATGTTGTATTTTTACATGAGACTTCATCACAATATTATAATAATGCAAAAATTAATCATTAAAAGCTCACAGAAGCATAATGAAGAATCATTAACTTTTACTATGGGTTTATTTCAGTCTGGACTCTAAACACTCCTAGACACACAGGTGGAAGAAGAGGAGGAATAATCCTGGAAAGGTACTTGGAGAGAAAAAAAAAAAGGAGGTGTGGAGAGAAAGAGAAAATACAACCCTAAACAAAACAAAGATGATAAACCTCATATAGTTATCTGGGAGATCAAGAAAAGTATTATTAAAGTTTATATATGCTCTCACACCCATACCAACACCTACTTCAGATGGTAATTAAGAGGACTGATTCAGTGCTCAGTGGGGTTAGGGAAAAATTCTCATGCTCATGTAATGGGAAGTGCATCTAGATCTTACATATCTCTTTTGCACTCCTGCTTGCATATGGACATAGATTTTGTGGTTCATTTTCAGAGGATGTGAGTGTGCACGTTGGAATTTGTTGAAAGGACACTTTTATAAGATGCAATCTGTGTAGTTCAAAGAAATCAAAGTCCTTTTGACTTTGGGTAGTTGAAAAGTTAAGCCAGGATCTTTCTGTGTTTAAATCTTTAGAAATTTCTAAAACAATGACATTTTAATGAAACTACATCACAGTTTGTACTTATCTTGAAAAAGTCTGGCAGCTACACTAGCAATTATGAGAAACTATCTTTCCACAGTGCTGCTGTGTTTTGTACACAAATGGAAGCTTGACATAGCTACTGTATTAAATCAATCCTTTGGATATTTGTCCTTCTCTTCTTGAGTAGTGCTCGTTATTTGAGAGGGGAAAACAAGTAATATGGAGGTGTGAATGAAAGAAGGAACCTTAGAAGCAGAGATGCTAAATTGCAGGTTTCTCTGCCAAAGTAGTAGCTGAATTAAGAAATTGTTCTACAGAGTATACCTGACTGCAGCTGGCCACCAGCTGATCTGCTGGCGTCGGCACCATTGCCACCTCAGAAGAAAAATAAACGACTTAAGAATGAAAAGCAGATAGGAGGATACCAACCCGGAGAATACCGAACTGAGAGGAAAAGGCAGTTTAGCACAAGTCCTCACATGTTTTGAGGTGAGTCAAATGCTTCAGCAGCTCTGGAGTATGTCTAGCCTTAGCCTGCCTTCACGTATCACTTTACAAACCATTAACTAGACTTTAGCTAATGTGATGTTGTTTGTGCATTTTTAAGTATGTTGTTTAGCAACTAATTCCATCAAGAATGAGTGCTCTCTGGAGTCTGTCTAGCCTTAGCCTGCCTTCATGTATCACTTTAACTAAAGTCTAGTTAATGGTTTGTAATGTGATGTTGTTTGTGCATTTTTAAGTATGTTGTTTAGCAACTAATTCCATCAAGAATGAGTGCTATTAGCTGAAGATTAAATGAGAAAATGGGACTCCTGATTATTCAATCAGCTTGTACCCTGACCAAGGACATGCTCACTTGGCTCACTGTAAATTCTAACATATAAAGAGGGTGAATAGGACAGATAATGTAAATGCACTTTTTTGTCTGTACCCAGAGTGTTCAGCTATTTGTCTGTAAGGTGATTCAGGCCACTCGCTATTCACTGTTTTGTTGATGCAAAGAATGAAACTCTTCCTTTTATCAAAAAAACGCTCAAATCCAAACTGATCAGCAGATACAAGAGTAGCTCTATTTGACACTTGTGTAAAGAATGTTTCAAAATAGATGTGTCATTTGGAAGCGTGATGGAAAGGCCCATACCACTACTGTAAATTATCTGCCTACAATTGCGATTGTCCTCTCAACAGAAAGAAACAAAGACTGGTCTAAGGGTATTCAAAAAGCCTTTAAAGTGATTCAGATTTTTTTTTTAACTGAAGACAAAACCCACACAGAGTAATCATCAGAGTGGACAGAATCTGTCTGAATCAAGTGAAGTTTAATAATCAGAAGCCCAGAAGAATTCTACTGAGCTTCTCAATGTATCTTACTGCTACTGCATGGCATTTCTACATGATCAGCTTAGCACTCTTTGATTTACAGGGCAGGTCTAAGGTATGACTTCACATATATGTAGTCAAGCAAGCTTTTGTTAGCATGGGTGGTATCTATGGCATAGCAAAAGCACTGTGCAAGTCCTGTATGGTGCATATTTTGTGCTTTTTAGTGAACTTTGTTCGTACTGAACTCTCTGTTACTAGGTTTCAGTATTGCTACTGGCTGGTTTGAGACTGGGCTGGCTATGTCTAAACAAAACATAATGGTATCTGGAAGGCAGCATGGATGTTTTTCTAGAGGCCTTTGCTAGGCAGCTATTGAGGAGAGGCAGGAAGTGTATTTTATAGAAAAGATGCTTGATTTTAATAAATGTGCTTAAATTCCTAGTTCAGAGGGAAGTTCCCACATGACTCCATGTATGATGTTCTGCCTCCATTCTCCATCTGTAAAAGTGTGTAGATTGTTGGGTTATAAGAGTAAGTATGTCAGTAATGAAAAGATTTCTTTTGATATTAGGGCCTTACAAACTTCTAAACTGTCTTTAGAACTTCAGCAATGGTGAATGAAGTCCTCTTAATTCAGGGTGGCTCAGGAATATAATTAGGAGCATTTCAGTACTGATTTTCATTTCTAGGATGCATTATACCTGTGAAATCGTTATTGTAAGAGTGAAGACAGTGTGTCATTTTGTGTTATACTTTCTTTGTCAGTTAATCTTTTCATTTTATGCTCATGTAATTTGTCTGATTCATTTCACTACAAATAATTCTGAAGTATTTCAGATGTATATCAAGAAGTAGGAACAATTTTAAGGAGGAAGCAGTTTGGTGGAGCTTCCTAGGAGAAGGCCGCAGGCAGGAAAAGTTAGTTGGTAACACTGGTATTAACAACTAATGGTTGTGGAAATACTTAGTTTGCCATGAAAAAAATCCGTTGCCATGAAAGAGCAGCATATATAAAAATAAGAGGAATCATTCACAGATGTCGTTAAACAAGTGTAGTAAAACAACTAGCCTTATATTCTTGGGAAAAGAATAATATTTTTAATAAGAGGAGAAAGGCCAGCAACTGCAATCAAACATTTATTGCTGTTTTTTTCCACTATAGTGCTTACAATTGCAAGTAAACTTAGTTCGTTTCATTTTCATCAGCACTTAAATTTCTAGTTTATGGTCAGAATATCTGCCATCTAGATATACAAACATTACTTGTGCTTCTAATTAACTGAATCTCGAACTATGTAGGAAAAGAATTCATACCTAATACGTTTCTCCTAAATACAGGCATATAAATAGAAAGTATTAAAACAAAACAAAAACCAAATCCAAACCACAAAACAAAAAACAACAAAAAAAACCAAGCCATAAACCAAAAAAACAACACAACAAAAAAAAAATGCTGCCATTGTTGCTGTGAGATAGCTCAATTACAGTGACTCGGGTTCAGAGACCCCTAAAGGTATGTTATGAGGTGATAGACTAGACTTAGATGCTGGAAGTACAGTATGCTTCCTGCTAAAATATTTCACTGTTTTTAAGGTAGTCAGTATGTCAGGAGTTCAGTAGCTTTCCTTTTTAGTGGCATAGACATTCACAGACCTCCACTATAATCTCATTGCTTGTTCTTTACTTGGGTGTCATCAAATGAATTGGTAACAGTGTTAGATGTAGGTTATGTCAGGAGAATAAAAGCGTCCTTTCCCCAATGTAGCCATACACCAAAACCAGTTCTTGGTTCTGAGACTTAAAACAACCAAAAAACCAAACCCACCACACAACCCCAAACAAACAAAAAAAATACCCCCAAAAAGGAGTTTTAAAGAGCTCCTGTCACCAAATTTCTTAGGGCATAAAGGAGATCTTGGCTAAACCTCCAGTTCTTAGTCAAAGGCAACAGAACTTTGAAAATCTAGTCTATCCTCCCAGTGCTTGGAGAGGGGCTGAACTTCCAGTGGGTTGGTGGGGAGCTGCTTGCTCAGTGCAACTTCCCCATTGCTCCTGAGCCAGTCCTTCCCCACAGGGCTCTCTTTCCTGGTGACTGCACTCTCGTAGGGACCCCTCTTGCATGTCTTCATAATTGCAAGCTGCTGGGATGTTTTGAGAGCACACTGTCTACCTCCTACCACCGCAGCAAAGAATTCTACAGAAGTGCGTGAAAAGCTGTTCTGAGAAAAGTGCTTTCAAGCAAGAAGTCAGCATAATTATAGGACAAACTTGCACTAGGCTGCTGCCTGTCAGCCAAGGGAATTATCGTTTGTGTTGGAGAGATGGGGTAAGGAGGGAAGTGGGTGGGAGATAACCGGAGGAGGTAATCTTGATGACAACTTCGCCAAAAGAGTGTGTGTAGGAGGACAGTGGAGTAAGAGAAGAGTATAGAGGAAGATACTTTTGAACTGAAATACAGGAAGAAGCCTCAAAAAAGGATGATGAAACTTTCCAGAATCTACAGGAACACTTCATCTTTTCTGTGGGTGCTGATGGGTAGTACCAGTCAGTATGCCTGGACCCGGGGAAGAAGCTGATTGTGTACAGAGCCCTGTAGTATCTGGGAAAGGCTAACTGCAGCTAATGAGCACCTAGAATCATGTCTGTAGTAAATAAAGGAGTTGTATGTGAGACTGTCTATGCAGTTTGATGTTAGCCCTATGTGGTATGGAGGCACTAGGCAATGAGATTTGTAGGAACATCTCTAATAAAAGGTAGAAAACGCCTTTGCTATAACAGGCTTCTGGGAATAAACTGAGGACAAAACAGCATGGTAGAGAAGTGAAAATAAGGCAAGCGATGCTAATGGGGCTAGGCAGCTTGTACTGTTCTGAAGTGCTGTGTTATGACAGAAGTTGGGTATTAAAGGCTGTGCAGGACCTAGTGGAACTGAAGAACTTTTAAAACTATTTATTATTATTTTGAAATTCTGATTCAACCATTGCTATCTCAGAGCAAAACCCATATACTGTGGCTTACATCTGTTGAGTAGAGCATGAAAGGACTATCTGGAATTACAGAAACAAATCTTCTCCAAGATATTTATAGTGCAGTTTGATAAAATTCACAGTATGGAAGCTTGCATGGAGTATTTTCTAATTCTAGCTGACTAGAAAATATAATTGCTTTACTGTGTATCGAACTGCATATGTTTAGACCTTGCTGACATTTTAATCTTTTACAAAATAAGGTAGGACATTTAAGAAGGGACCATTTTAACCCAAACAGAAGGGCAGGGGTACTACCCTACCTGAAAATGTCTTGTTCCAGCTCATGAGTCTGTTGTTGGTCCTCCTGATTCTGCTTTTGCATTTCTTCTTGCTCTTTTGGAGTGAGAGAACTAAGGCCATCCAAGAGCCATTTTTCTCGCAAGGCCTTTTTCTGATGGGGGAAAATAGACAAGTAAATGTACTTTAAAAGTGAGACTATTCAATCATTTACTGCACTTGTCTTGATGCCATAGGTGTGATCCGCATTCTTGCGCCGTATGTAGCGTAAGGCAACCTGACAGTGGGTGCCACCGAGAGAGAAATACTAAAAAACATTTGTGTTTTGAGATTGACTTAAAACCAAAGTCATTAAGAACAATGTCCTGTTTTATTAGTCAACCCAACAAATACGTAGAGGATGTCAGTTGCTACCTGTAGCAGATTAATATTTATAAGTGGATCCAGTGGTGTGTTTATCTTCAATAAAGCAAAACAGTTGTATCAAAGTGTACATGTTACAGACTCATGCAAAAGGCTCCAGTCAGAAGCGCTATAGTTTTATTTCAGTGGCCCTGATTTCTGGGGTCATGGCACTGCATAAATTCTGGGAGGGGTTATAAAAGGTGAAAAGTTTCTGTAAATAAGGTTGTATAGGGGGAAGAGATCTCTAGGGATTTAGTGATGCAATGCTATCTCTGGAGTTTACAGGGAACTTGGGTAATTATGGTAGTGAACTTGCATTTCATCTGGTGAGGATGTGAGGGCTAAGAGTGAGACTGGAAAGATGGAGCATGGGTTGCTGATGTCTGGTTAGTGTTTCAGCAGACCTGCTATGTATTTTGAACTGCTGTTGTAGGGGCAATCCAGGGCTTACGTATTTAGGTCCTAACCTGTTTAGTGCCTGTGGAGTTCTTTCTGTACAGCAATGGCTTATAAATTGGGTGTATCACATGTGTACAGCTGAGTGGACCTCTCAGCTGTGTTCTGAAATTTTAAAAAATATGGCTGTACGCACTGATTGCTTCTGACAGCTGCTTTACAATATGAAAGGTGGCATCTCGGAAGTCTTCAGAGCTCTCTAAAATACTCCTGGTGTTTAAAAAAAAAATAAATTCATGGATATAAGTTCATATTTGCACACTACAGGTGGTAGACCATGCAACCTTTCTTGCGCTCTTTTTACTCCCTCCAGTGTAACTCAGGAATATAAATCCACTTCCTGCCTTGGGGAAGAAGTGGGAATTGGGGCTCCTTAGAAAAACTCTTTCAACAGGGGGGAAAAAAGCATGCATATAAGATTTTTAATTAACCATGTATTTTCCATTTGTAATTTATATTCCTTGAGCTGTCTGCTTTCCATTTTATTTTTTTTATTTTTTTTTCCCCTGCATAGTTTCATTAATTGCAGGATGTGGATGAAGATTAAATAGGATTTTGACTACTGCTGCTTTGAGGCAGAGCTGTGCCAAGCACTGCTGAGAAGGCTGCATTAACCTCAGTGCTGCTTGCGGCGGATGTTGGAATCCCTGCCTGCATCCTGTGTGTTGAGTCACTTAAATGGTTGCTTCCTACACTTTTCTGTTTACTATATACTTTACTTTACACGGGGCTTGTTGGGAATTCTGTGGGAATTCTTTGTTTTTTTTTTTTTGCTCTTTGACCCAGAAAGTAGGAGCAATGTTTACAGTTGCCTTAGCCCTACAGGACAGTGTTTCCTCTCTAAGCACTGGATCCTAGGAGATCTGTGAGAAACAAGGGCTGCTGAAGACTGATGTCCTGAGCCTTGACTCTGGCTGTCGGATTGCTTGGCAGCACTTCCTGGCAGTTGTGTCTTAGGCTCGAATGAAATAAATGCTCATTTTAATAGCATGGTTTTACCTGATCTAGTAGATGCATGTAGTCTGGTGTTGGCACAACTCTTATGGACCACAAAATACTGGTTTTGCAAGTTGGAGGGAACACAGTTATTAATCCCCTTTCAATCTAGCTGCTTAGATTGTATTGATAAGTAGGGCTCCTAGAAAAGTGAGATTTTAATCCTGGCTGGAACTGAATTAGTCTAGCATTGCTGTCTCCAAAAATGAATCTATAATTCCTTGTGAGAATTACAGCAGGGCTGGACTGTAGGCCTCAAACTGATAACACCCATTGAAATCAACAAAAGCTTCATGTACGTATAGAGTTAGGCCCAAGAAAACAAACTCCCTAAATACAGGCATAACACAATAGAGTTATTTTTGCCTTTTTCTAGAATAGTTTGCTGCTGTTCCCAACTAAATGCCAGGTAATCTTTTTAATTTAGCCACTTTTGAAAGAATGACACATTGTGTAGTTTGGAAACAGCCTTTGAACAACAGAGCATTTCAAGGCTGCTCCACTGAGGCATCGACATGAAGCCAGTGCAGGAACAGCTGCTTGGGGACTGTTGGGTTCTTTCTGCTGTCTAGCATTTCCTTCTGCTGTAGCTCAGTCCTAGGTTGTGCATGTGTTATAGCTCTTATATGAAAGCACTTTCATTTTGCATTAGGCTTGGTACGTTAAGGGAAAGGGATTCTTATACATTGTGATGTGATAAGACCTTGGGAAAGGCCAGAGTGCTGGAAAGCAATCACTTTCTTGTTTATGGTCACATCAGGAGTACTGTGACAATATTCTGCAAATTCTGTGAATAATGTCCTACACGTGCTCCAGGTATGACTCCAACGTAATCCTTAACAAGGCTGCGCTAACAGTGAAAGATTCATCCTTTGCTGGAAGGCACAGGTGTTACGAGTTTTGTGGATCTTGCTCTCCCAGTGGTATGGCAGTTCACCTTATGGCGTGTTGGGGGAGACATAAATCATTTTCACAGCTTTCACAGAAGATGTAGTTCAACACTGTTAACTCCTGGAATAAGAAGATGTGTGACCAGCCCCTACAATGTAGCAGTAATGGAGTTCAGACATGTCAGAAGCCAAAAACTTAATAAGCTAAACTATAAAAGCTCTTGGAAACTCCATGCAAATCAGTGCTGACTATGCTCTTCGAGCAACTCTAGTCCTTTCCCTTGTTGCCTTAATGAGAAGGATTCTGGGTAGGAGGAAGAAGTAGTTGCTGGTGCACCTAGAATTACTTGAGGATGAAATTTCCCTTGTACCCTCACTAGCAGCCCCCATTACCCCTTGCAGTTCCATGAAGCCCTACCCTTCATGTGGTTTCTTCATTGTTAGAACTATATCGCCTTTAAGGCCCCTTCCAACCAAACCGTTCTATGAACTTTCTATGATTCTATGGTAGAAGCACACATGTAGGGAATAAATATTCCTTCTCCAGTATAGTTCTACCAGATAACTAAGACCTATTGTGATGCCTCATCTGTCTCTTTCTAGTAAGAAGTTAGCTTGGGAACAGCAAAGAAAGTCATTGGGAAGCTGAAGCAGAGATTCCTATTTACAAAAAGGAAGTTTAAAAAAAACCCCACCAAAACCCACAAAAAAACCCCAGACCAAAACTGAAAACCCAAACCAAAAAAACCTAACTGCAAAAAAACCAAACCAAATAAAACCCCACCCCAAAACCAAACAAACCCCAAAACAAAACAAAACACCCCCCCTCCAAAACCCCCACAAAAGAAAACAACAACCTTTTAATAAACCTGTTGCTAAGAGTTATAAATACGAATGAAGGACAAAATGAGGAACAGGATAGTGATACTCAGCTAAGAGGAACATCTCTGTGGCAGTGAGATTTACTAACCTGCAACAGTTTCCTAAGGGACAGGTGTGAGTTATGTTGAATAGATCATGGAGCTCCAGATTTTACCATGCACGAGTAGTAGGAGTATAAATCAGTGAAATCAACCTGACTCGCTAGGGAAATGAGCTTTCAATAAATTTACTGAAGCGCCTAAATGTTTTAGAAGTCTAAGTATGTTTTAAAGCGATTTCTGCACTAGATTCTTGTGTTGTTTGACTCCTCCATTGAAATACCAGATTGAGTCCAAAGCATAAATGTTTGTGAAGGGACAAGGCTTCTAGGGCACCAAGTAGAGGATGTTCATATAGTAATGTTGCATCTGATATTAGGTGCCTGTCTTAGTACTCAGTTAGAAAAAGTAGTTTCCATTTTGGGTGCTCCAAATAGTTAATGATATGTATGTATTTATAGACCATACATATATATATATTTAAATATATGCTTGATCCCTCTTTGCCAAGTGAATCATTTCCTTTACAGAGCCTCGATCTGCCTCGTATGCAATATGACTGATTTTAATTTAAAAACTCTTCTGTATGATATCTGTATGATTTTTCATAGAACAGGCAAACAAATCACATCCTCTGTCCTCTTCCAAAGGAAGAGCATTTCGGTAGTATTTTTCCAGGAGTGTTTTATCTTCTGTAAAATTCCATGAAACGTCTTCAGAATAAATGCAATGTGGGTTTTTGTTTTCTTAACTTTTTAACTGTATTTTACCTATTAATGTTAGCTGGAGGCATGGACTAAATCTGCAAGGAAACTGCCCTAGGACTCTGTCTGCACACAGCAGTAGTGAGGATTAGCTGGTTGTCTAGAACAGATCAGTTTATCCTTCTTAAAAGAAGGGCAAAAGAGTAATTTTGAATTTATAGGCACGGAAACGTGAAACATAAATTGCAGTGCTCCATGTACTGAGATGGAGGAAGACAGTCGCATGTTTACTGCTCATTAGTTACAGGACTTGGAAAAGATATTCCCCTCTCTTCTAGGCAAGACATTACACAATTGGTGAAGCCTGTCCTTATGTTCACTATCTTCCAATAAAACCTAAGCATGGGTGACTTTTGCGTTGGGTTGCCTGGCCCAGCGAACTAGTTTATCATAACTTCTCATTTTTTTTTTGGCTTGACACAAAAGAAAAGGGTGCATGAAACCTAGGATCAGGTGTCTGTTTTGAAGAGGAGTCTGTTTTAAATAGGCTTCCCCCACATTTGCTCAAGGAGACATGCCCTGCTCCTGATATTGGATTCAACATACCTTTCTTGAAACTGTTTATCCACTCGCATAATTGAAAGAATATGTAACACACCAAGTCTTGGTAATTTCTGGAAGCATAGGTTTTGTCTCATCTCCCTAAATGACATGTACTGCCAAATTGCAACAGACATTTAAAGAATGGTGGTGTTGGGTAGAAATCGCTGCAATTTCAAGTGTCTACAGAGGTGGATCTTTTGGTTTCTTAGTAATCTGGACTTTGTAATTCTGAGTTTTCCAGGACATATTTCAGGACGATATTTGTAGCATTTATGCCTCTTTTTTTTTTTTAAATGTACAAAGACACAGCATTATTTTACCAAATAGTCATTAAACAAGCTGACAAAAGTTTATAGCCAAATAAAAATAGGATGCTTTTTTTTCCAGAAAAAAGTGCGATTAGATCTCATGATTGTGCTGCACCCTGTACTAACTGAGGTTGCTGTAGTGGAATTAAGGAGTGAACACACCCAGTCTGAAATGTGAGGCTTAATTTTCAGCTGTGAGTTATTCCTGGTTATGATCTCATTTTATGCCATGAAAGTGATCAAATAACATTAGCTCCCGAATGTGATTTTTTTTTTTTTCAAAGTATGTTGCTTATTAAAGTCAAATGGAGTCCTGGCAAGACTCCAAAAAGCTGTGAAAATTTGACAATAAAAGCATGACTTAAAAGCACGAAGATTTGCATTCCAAAATCCTAAACCTTTATTCATGCTGAACAACTTGAGGCTATCTTTAGTTACATAAATCCAACACTTTACTTACCTTTAAATGTTGGTGTTTCATTTTTTCCTCTTCTACTTTTAGGCGTTTCTGTGTAATTTCTTCTTGCAGTTTTCTTTTGTCCTACAAATTAAGAGAACAACAAAACTTTGTTTACAGAAATTACTTGTTGCTACAAAAAATTGTTTGTGTTGTTCAGTCGTGTGAAATCAATCCATGCAAATAAAGCCTTATTTTAAAGCTTATATGGCGCTCAGGCAGTGCGTAATTCTTAGCAGCAGCAGCTCAGGTGTCCTACACAGGTATGGTTTCCATTACTCTTTCTCTGAAGTACTTTTGAACATGTTAATGACCACAAAGCAGGGATGATACAAAATTAAAAATAATTTACTGTTGGAAAGGGTAGGGGAGGAATACAAGAGGTAGTAACATTTGAGCACAATCGTCCATGCAAAATGTTAGAAATGGGTCCTGACCAAAATTCCTAAGGCAGCCCACACATCACTTAGGAGAGGAAAGAGTCTGCATGGTCTACACTGTGCAGCTGTGACACATCACTAAGTGAAACGGGCTGTTGGTGAATCCCGCACTGAGTTTATGTATCTTGTGGCTAAAAGCCTGAAATAAACAGGAATAAACAGACTTAGAAATTTATTTCATTAGTTGAATAGTGGTAAAGATGAACATAGAGAAATGTAGTAGTCTTCATATATGTTGCTACCCCTCAGTTTAAAAAAAACAAAAAAAAAATTTTCTCTGTGCAAAGGCTGTTTTGATGGCTGCTGAACTTTAGAAGGAAAAACCTGAAGTTGTTCTGATCTATCATAGTGCCACCTTCATCTTTTTTGCTACAGATTACAGCAAAAAGGAAATGGGTGAACCACCTCTGAACCCTGGCAACACTTGAGTCTCTTGAGTCTTTGGATAGCTGCTGTCATGTGGAGTATCCTTGTGGCTCCTCTTTAGGAGGCCAAACACTGATTTAGTACTTTGTGTCCTCAGCAGCCAGTGGGAAAGAAATCATGCTAAAAGGAAACTTTTACTCTTACAAACTGTATTAGTAAGCTAGTCTCTTCGTCAGCCTTAACACTATAAAATCTTGTTATTGGATGCAGCAACTTTTGCACTTGTTTCCTGGTACGTTTTAGGGAAGTAAATTAAATCAACTGTTGGCCTGTGCAGAAGTACTTGCTGACTGAAGGCTAATCCCCGTTTCCTTTCAATTAGTACAGATTACTGACAGTTGGTTTTGTGTGTGTGGTTTTTTGTGTGTGGGTTTTTTTTTTTTTTTTTTTTTTTTAACAGAGTCTGTTTTCAGACAGGTATGGTTTAGGAAGGAGTTAAGTTCTTCGGAAACATAGCAAGAGACTTGCCCTTTCAGCCCACCTGAGGAACCAGCTGTGTGTAAGGAGTGTGGAAAGTCAGTAAGGAAGTGCTGGGCCTAAGGCTGGGAGTTGTTCTCTGCTGTTTTCCTGGGATCCGGGATTTGGAAACAGGAAGAGCCATAGTGTGCTTGGCTGAATCACTTCACTATTACTGGAAATTCAAAATTAGCAATGGGGCTGCAGGCTATAGGGACGCTTTGTTGAAGGACGGGAAGTAGAAGAAACGACCTAGCCTTGTGGAGATCGAGGGCAGGACTACAGGCAGGCCAAGCACAACTGATGGTGTGCTGGGGTTTAGTAGGTGAGTGAGTGTCAGTGATCTCTTCTCTCTTGCAGCCTGGAAAGTGTGGTACCTGCCTATAAATAATATCTATACTTCACAGTTTTTCCTTGATGGTGGTAGTCTGTCTCTTTAATACACCAAACAGAGCAGGTAGGGATCTTGCCTCAAGATGCATGCTACCTTCGCCTCTGTAGTGGTTTTGGGTTTTGCCAATGCTCTTTAATACAGTTAACAAAGCTACTGATTTAACATCACTACAATATGTAATTTTTCTGCAGTGTCCCTTTTTAGAGACTTTATCCAAGAGCTGCTATGCTGGATTTTACTCAGCAAGACATTTTGGAGACATAGCATCTTGTCTTTGACCTTCGCACCTTTCCTTAGTTAGGAAATATTCCTGATCTCGTTGTATAAATGGCCTTCAAATAACTCATCATTAGATGAGCAAAGCGTGACAAAAGCTTGTGTTTACGATTGTTACAATTCTTAAGGAAACTGCTTTTTCTCTTTACTAAAGTTCTGGATAAGATTCTTAGCCAGAGAATGAGCTTTTACTTGGTTTATACTATTAAAAAATTTTCTAAGTAAATTTAAATATTCTTTTTAAACCAATGGAGGTATGTACTAAGAGTTTGAGCAGTCTGAAAGGAGAAGTGGTACACAAAAATACTGTGCAGAAAGAAATCAGAGTGTAAGGGTGCAAATAACTGCATTTTAAATTAACTGTGTAATAAGGGACCTATTCAGTAATGAAACTTTTGCCTGTTTCTTTTGTTGGAGCTCTAGGTTTCTTTTGCATCCGGTATTTTTTTCTCTTAAAGTTTTCTACTTGTATCCTTTGGTGTTCTAGCATGTTTTAATTTCACTGGTTGATAATAAGCATCCATTATACAATTATCCAGATTAAATAGATTGAAATAGGTTTTCCTTTATATATGTCTAGTCAAAGAAAGCTGAAGGTGTAACGCCAGAAGCTAAATTCAAGAAAGATGCATGAGGAACTTTTTTGAACCCTGTGTTACCAGAATAATTTTAAAAACCTGTTAGGACACTTCCTACAGTGCATTCTGCTATGCTTTGTCTGCAAATCATGACTTGCTGTACAAAGCTTTGACTATACAGCTAATGAAATAAATGTTTATTTCTAGATAGCTAAGAGATCCATACTTCTACTAAACTTCATACTCTGCTCCTGCAGGTAATCAGATTGCTGGCAGAAGTCCTCTAATCCTCTCTTACTATGCTCTTGTTAATGTGAGTAAGATTTGCTTTTTATGAAAGAGCATTTTCATCCCTTCCTTTCTGTTGTGCATCAATGCAAAGTGAGACTTGAGCCTTGGTCCTAGTTTTCATTGCTACTGAAACATGTAGGAATCTTTCCTGACTTTTGAGCATAGAAAAGAATTGTGTTCTAAACTGGATCTGTCTGAAAGGAAAGGAGACACATCTACAGAGCAGTGCCTTGCTAGGTATCTTGTGTGCCAAGTCCATTAGTTTGCATCAGTGTTCCACAGTGGTGCCAGTGTTGGTCTGCTTGGTCCCATGGCAGGTGCCATGTACTGTCAAAGCCAATGGAGCAGCTAATATTCTAGCTGATGTAGTTTTGATTTCATATCATTTTCTAGAGGTAATGCTTGGTTATTGAGGGGTCTTATCTGGCGGTATGGACACTTCAGTCTGACGGCATGAAACTGCAGAAATGTTGTAGTTCAAACCTTTAATCACAATACAAATATTTTATCATTTTTGTTGTCCTGTAGAATGGAGGATTTGATGAGAAAGGACTAAGCCTAACATTCCTCTTTGACTATTTTGTCTCAATGTTTGCCATAGCAAATGCTAAAGCTTTTATATGTTAAGATACAACAGTCTCTCTAACAAAATGGATGCATTTGATTTTTTACTTGTTATGTTCTGTTTACACCAGTGGCAGGTGGAAGCTATGTAACAGAGAAAAATGGTTCCTTTTCATAGCCATGGGAGCACTGAAATCTTAAAATAATAATAATAATAGGGGTTTCCTTTTTGCTTTGCTATATAGAGAAGATATGAAAAAGAATTTAAAAACCCCTAGTGGCTCTGTGAGAGCCAGGTGCTGTAAAGGAGCCAGGCATTTAACAACAGAAACCAGTTAGGTTTTAGTGCAAGTGTAGTTGTTTACTGCTCTGAGTGCCCCTTGCTATCCTTTGTTAGATCCTTTATAACATACATCTTGTAGGTAGGAACTAAAATTCCCAGATATGTTGCTTGGGACAAACCTTCCCAGAGCCACTGAGTAACTTGCAGTTGTAATTGTAACATGTTGTTTTCATAGAAAACTCATACTGCAGATTCTTAGACTTGGTGGTAACTTCACCTTATTTAGGCTCCTTCGTTTCTGCAGGGCATTATAACAAATAGCTGAGTGTTTCAATTAAATACTCTCAATTGATGAAAATAGAGAGCAAATAGTTCCTTTATGCAGCAAGTGTAATAAATGAAGTCATGGCCAGAACCCAAATATGATCTTTTTACTGTAATGCAAGACACTGGAAGCTGTCACAGTGTCTTAAAAAACACTTCCACAGTATTCGTCTGGAGGCAAAGAAGCAGCCAGCGGACGCTAACCCTAGTACGTTCATAGGAGTCCTCATCAGGCAAGCGTGCTACCCCATTCCTCCTGCTAGATGTCAGGAGTTATAAAACATTGCAAGGCCTGGACTTCTCTGGAGCACCAAAAGATTTCTTATCTTTTGAGCCCATATGCTAGAGACAAAGTCCAGGTTATGGGTCTGGTTCAAACAGCATTACAGTTAAACAAACAAACGTACTCTAACCCCCCTAAACCATTTCAAATTACCTTATTGTGGGCTTGAGTCAGGTCTCAAGTAAATACGCTAAATGGGCCTGTTGGCTTTTATCAAATGTCATAATTAAAACCCAATCAAATTAAAATCCAACCTATTCAACTCCTGTAGATTTCCAGTTATGCCTTCTCACATTTATTTTGGCTCCAATAAGGTGTTTTTTAACTCTGCCCACCATTTATTCAGCTAGTAGTGTTTTTTTCATGACTAATCTGTCATGCTAAGAGTGTGAAAAATAGCTTTGTCACCATTATTTGTTTTTAAAGGTTGCATGTGACAGTCAGTGATCCTTCTGCAGTTTTCCTTTGATCCCAAAGTGCCAAATTTTGTTGAATTCTTTTGTAACTGAATAGGTTTCAGTGGAGATCAAATCAGAGAAGAATTTAGATTCAGCCATTTTTGTTACATCAGGTTATTTCTTTAAAAAATAGCTCAGTAGTTTCTTTAAAACGCAATAAATCTTTTGAAGCGGATTTCCCTTTAGGAGAGGAACTGAAAATGTTGTCTAACGTCTTCAGCATAAACTTCACCAAGCATTCCCCCCA